GACTCTCGATGATGAACTTAGGGATCAAGCTCCCAGCTGGACGTTCTGGTGTGGGTTTCTTCCATGATGTGGTCCTAGTATTGTGGTTGATAAAGTAGGACCGGCCAAGTGGTGAGATGTGCCATTCGCATCCTGGAACGAGATCTCCAGGTTCATCTACGCTCAACCATGAATTCCTCGTTCCCAGACGTGGGTTCTTCACTCACCTAGTCGCACTCCTGGTAAAGGGTAGTGCCACGAAATCATGTACAGCCTGTTGTCTTGATATATTGTTTCAATATTCGGCACATTAAATTGTTGCCATAGAGGAGGAAGTGCCTCATTGCCGCCTGCTTTTTGTTGAGTCTCTCAGTGGGTATCACAACACGGTTGCTCGCCTTTCCAAAGGGCATCCTGGCGGTGCTGTGCACCATAAAGTGGCGGATAATTTGGACTCATCGAAGGAAGATGGGCTGGTGAGTTGGATGGTATCTCTTGTTCTACTCGTCTCCCCTTTTCTGCCTCGCATGACTTGGCCTCTTCGCGTAGCATGTCGCTAGCTGAGGAAGTTTGCGATGACCTCTGTTATTTATGTGATTTAAAGATGGAGCTGTTTGTAGGCGTTGTGTCTGATTGATCAAGGTTCAGGAAGACGCCAGTGCTAGAAGAGGAGATTAAGAGACCTGTTAATTGATCCATTCCGTATGCTGTGGAGCGGTGTTTTATAACGATAGTACCTTTTAATATGCACTTTCGCTATACCGAGGTCTGTACGATTCCTCTACGCTCGCAGACCAAGACAGTTGTGTGCCTCTGTCTACAAGCATTGCAGTCTGGTACAAGCTCGAGCAAGGTCGGTAGGGATTGCTTATCTGCTAAATCAATTTATTTCCTCATTGTCGCCGTTCGGAGCGCCAAAGATTATCAATGGGGGAAGATTGAAGGTTTGGATAACTCACCCGAGTGTTGCGCCGGGGCGTTGGAATCTATTTCGCTATTGACATTCATTGATATTCGTATCTCGAACAAGCTGTCGATGTTCATTATAGTACCTTTACGTGCCACTCCCAACAACTCAGATCGTGATACATGGCTGTTTAACAGCTTGATGGTAGAAAGATCGGCCATTTAGATGTGATAATAGCACGGTATCACCCGCATTGATCATTATCAATGATCATTATTATCAGCCAAAGAATACCTCCGATGCCAAGACAAACACTGTTACATTTCCCAGCGGAAGAGCATACCATGCACCCCGCATCGTAGTGGAGGTACGTTTTAGCCATACAACGCGAATATCATCGGTACATTGGAAAAGTTGGTTACGACACCAATGATGCAAGAGACGGATGGCTTGTAGGCAGCTGACAATAAGTACTAGCTAGTGTCGCTGGAAAACGCCGCTGATTGGGGTGTTGGAACGCCGTCACAGTAGACGGCAAACACTAACAGGCAATCGGACAGAGATAACGTGGATGAGCTTATGGGATTCGGCGGTACGGTAAGAGATAAGATACAGGTACATCAGCGATGAATTATATATAATGAATCAACATCAGCAGCCAAACACAGACAAATGAGGCGCGGTGTCCAATCAGCGTAAGTAAGCGCATGCTTACAGGTGTCAAAAATAACGAAAGATGCATTTGTAATTGATACGCACCACGCTAAAACTTGACAAGCTCACTGACAGGATGTTGGCAGCGGGTTCGTAACATCTGTGGACCCAGAGGCAGGTACTACTTGAACTCATCTTGTCCACCCTGCCGCTCGTAAACGGTGTAGTCAGAGACACAGCGTCCAGGGACGTCACACGATCGAAGTGCAGTCCAACCTTGGTCCAACCAATTGTTAACGTGCCCTCTGAACTGTAACTGACAGCAAAGCTTGAGGTATATTGCAACGTGCTCATACTTGTAAGAATGGATGTTTTACTCACTCGGCATTTGCAAAGGAAGTCTTCATTATAATTTTCTAGGTACCAAGAAACCTTGCAACCGGTCCTCTTGTTGAACGACAGCCCCCATTGGTGTCAGGAGACGGCGGGGTAATATTAATATTAATATGTCCACCAATTGTGTTCGATTGAAACTTCGAGCGGTCTGCTACATAACGTACAAAGAAACAAATGACCTGAATCATAAATCATGGCGAATGATCTGCAGAAGCAGAGCATCGCAAACCCTGACGTGACGGAAGTACGAGAAAAAAACACTGCAAGGGTGTTATAAAGTCAAGCTAAGCGCATCAATAGGCAAAAAGGATATTGACCGGGGATGCCAGCTGCACAGGTTCTATGTGGGCCTGCGACGAACAAGATTGAATCCACAGCATCCTATCACACACGATTCTTCTGTGGCAGCATCAGAATTTTTCCCCCGGGTGGTGTGTGTTGGTCGTGACCCTTCTACCCCGGTTGCAGGTTGACCTTGTCGTGTTGAACTATTGCCCTTGGTGTTGCTTGTACGTTGCTTATTTAGGGCCTCTATCTCAGTCGGAGAGGCAATGTCACGCAACTGTAAATGGATTTCAATAGATCAAAGAGGGGCGAACGTTGGTGGCGACGAGGGACTCACCTCGTCCGCCTCGGCATGAGCAACATCGACAAAACCTCTGGGAATTCTCACAGGGAAAAGGCTGAAATTCCAACGCCGGGGGTTGAATGGCATTGGTCGGCCAGCATTTGGAGGTCGAGTGCTGAAGTGCAGGGAACCAACCAAATTGCGCAGACGCTGTGGAAACAACGGGACAGAAACTGCGGGTTCTGTATGATTATTCCAGAACTCATTGCCCTGATTCGGTGTCAGGCTAGCAAGCGCAGAGGAAAGATGGGACATTACTGACATATCTTCCCAATCCTCTATCGTTGGCGCGCTGTCTAGGTATGGGGGGCGCGGAGAAGTTCTAACGAAATACATTAGCAAAGGATGAAAGAGAAGCAGAGTTTGAGCTCCGCGTTGGGCTTCACATTGTTATCATGCGCCTGAATAAGACCCATACCCACTTAGAAAAACACCGACAACAGTAATGCACATACGCACGTCAACTTGGTCACTGCCCTGTTTAAGCACTGCCTCCAAGCTCCATACATAGATCTTTGCGTCCAATCCAGCACTGGCGATGTATGTTCCATCAGGAGATACGACAAGAGCCACAAGTTCATAGTCGTGCAAGAGCAGTTTCCCAACTGGTTGATTTATCTTGAGGTCCCAGATGCGAACTGAGCGGTCCATTGATGCGCTGACAAGATGACATTCATCTGGAGTCAAACAGAGGGAGTTTACGGCATTGACGTGACCTCTGAGCACGACGAGCTCCTCCCCATCAATCGACTGCCATTTTCTGATCGTGTTATCCAATGACGCGGAGAAGATGTGCGCGCCATCCTTGGACCAACATAACGACGTCACCCAGTCTTTATGTCCCTTGAGCTTGATGAGCAGCTCGCCGTCCTTTGACCACACGCGAATCATATTGTCCGACCCACCGCTCGCGAACCTGTCGCCTTGTGGAGAGTATCTGAAGGCAAGCACCCATCCATGACCGGTCTCTATCGGTGGTGCGAGTTGTCGTCCAGTATCCGGGTTCCATCGTCGTATGGTGCCATCCTGTGATCCACTTGCTATCTCCGCCATATTCGGAGACCAATCGAGGCACCGCACTCCATCAGTATGCCCCTCCCACGGCTCGCCGACCATGTTACCCTCCTTGATATTCCACTTCCGTAATCTGCCGTCTGCGCTTCCACTCACGACCGTTGTTTCATCTAGAGATGGTGCTATTGAGCATACCCCTCCTCCGTCACTCTCCCAAGGTTTTTCTACTCGCTCGCCGTCTCTTTCCCACTGGCGAATTGAACCATCGGATGACGTGCTCATTATCTTGCCGCTGGCGCCCAAGCAAGAAAGGCTCCATATGCATTCGGAATGACCCTCTATGATGCACTCCGGTGTCAAGCTCCCTGCTGGACGTTCTGGCACGGGTTTCTTCCACGATGTAGTGCAAGTATTATGGTTGACAAAGTAGGACCAGCCGAGTGGTGAGATGTGCCATTCGCATCCGGGAACAACAAGATCTTCAGGTTGATCTATGCTTCGGCATGAGTTCGTCGCTCGCAGTACATTTTCTACGCTCACCAAGTCGCACTCCTGGTAAAGGTCGGTGTTGTGAAACCATTTGCAAGGTGTCGTCTTGATATCGCGTTTCACCATTCGGCAGCTTAAAGTTATGCCACAGAGGAGGGAGGGCTTCATCGGTGCCTGCCTCTTTTGAGTCGGTCGGCGGGTATCACAATACGGGTGCTCACCTTTCCAAAGCGCATCCTGGCGGTGTTGTGCACCATAGGGTGGCGGGCCTGTCGCACGCATCAGTAGAGTAGCACTCCCCTGCGAGGCTGCTCGTGATGCTCTGACCCGGGCATGGCAGTTCCATGCCTCACCAGCAACCATGGTTTACACGGACCTGTGGACAGTGAATCACAACTTGATCGAGGCACCCACTCGATAGCCGGGGGCGAGGACAGACGTTAGTGATGGTGGAGGTGACAAAGTGACCTGGTAAAAGTTCCGCATACTGTAGTTGCAGGCGCTTTGAAGCTGTGGCCTGGTGGCAGTGTTCCGCAAGGGCACTACGAATCAGTTCCATAAGCATCAGGGTAGTAAAAAACTTGATGCCTCATGCCTCATGCTGCTTGCTTGAAAGTTGCGGCCCCTGGTCCGCACCCTCGTTGATACCAGCCCGAGCAATACCAGTGTTTGTCACTAGTTCAACGGTCTGGAAGTGCACGTCAGACTCAGCGTCTAAATTATGATACCGAATGGGGAATCAAGCATGGAGGAGGTTCATTGTCATTCAAAAACGCTGTTCGGGTAGGTGTCAATAATGAAATAAGCATGTCTAGTTGATTGTATGTTGAAGATCACGGGTAGGTTCGTGCGCAGAGGGAGGCCGAAATAGGCAGTTGTTACATAAGCGTTGAGCAATGGGATGTGGAAGGCGGCTAGAAGGGATTGACGATAATTTACTCGACCGCCGTTTAGCTGTGATGGCACCGACTCAGCCATTTTCCTCCCAGCATGCACACCCGCCATATCCTTCCCTATACCTATATCCTCTGAACGACACTTTTGTTCCAAAACATATCTCCCTCCATAATGGCCAGCGCGTAAAGATCGGGCGTCAGACAAACGCAAAGACAGTTCCAGCCGAGAGAAACGGTTACTTTGATTCAAAAGTATTGAGCAGACAACATGCAGAAATATGGGAGGACAGTGGAAAGGTCAGTGTTTTGTCCTATATTTTTTGGTGAAATTGACGGGGCGTGGTGGCAGATATACATCAAAGACGTGAAAAGTTCCAATGGTACTTTCATCAATGGCGAGCGACTCAGCCCAGAAGGTGTCGAGTCTGAGCCATTTGAACTCAAAAATGATGATATCGTGGTACGTTTCCCCTCATTTCACCCCGTCTGATCCATCCAACACCCTTGCAGGAATTTGGTATCGACATTATCGGTGAAGACAACAAGACAACCATCCACCACAAAGTCGCTGCCCGTGTCATGTGCGTGTTCACAGACGAAGATGCACACCTCGCTGCCCGCGTCGAGGCAGTCCCCACATCCGCTTCTCTTACTCCCAACATCCCCTCCATCCTCCCTCCCGCCACTTCATCATCCGCAAGTGGTAGTAACTTTAGCTTTGCTCATCCACAGCGCCGCCCGACCCTCCAGAGTCAGCTCGGTGGAATGGGCGGCAGCATGCGACCGCCGGGTAAAAACGGCCTTTCCTTTGACCACATATTAAGTAGACTCCAGGGTGAACTCCAGAAGAGTCGTGAGACCGGCGCGGAATTGCACTCCCTAAGCAATGCAATGAACGACATTCACGATACGCTCGGTGGCTCTGTGGTCCGTTCGGCCTTTCTCTCTCCATCCATCTATCCATACCAACTAATTTCTCCCTTTCTCACAGCCCCAAAACCTACCGCACTTCCCTCAATCACTCCCTCCCGTGCGTTCACAACAAGCCTCGATCACCTCCGCACCGCCACCTGCACCAGGATCCACCGCACCCACAAATTCAGAACCTCCTGCGCCTCCCGCGGAGAGCCCTGCCCTCTCCGAGCTGCGCACAGAACTACATGAGACCCAAGCTAGCCTCGCAAGTCACGTCGACAAAGTCCGCGCCCTCGAGGACATGCTCGCAGAGCACGAGGCCATCAAGGCCGAAGTTGCAGCTCTTCGCGACCTCATCCACGCTTCATCCTCGCGCACCCAGCACGACAACGGCATGGACTTGGACTTGGAACGCAGTCGCCGTGGTCAAGATGATGATGATGCGTCGAGCATTCATACGATCACCCCACATGAACTGGAACGCGTTGAGGAGGAGGACGAGAATGAAGAACAGGATGAGAGTGAGGAAGATCGGGAACGTGCGCAGAGGAGGGAGGAGCTGGGCCGACCGCGGACACCGGAGCCAACGGGAATGGGAATGGACGAGGACGAACCTACGCACGTCCCTACACCCGATGCAGAACCCTCGACGTCACGGCTTCGGCTACGGTCACCCTCGCCACAGCCATCGCACCCTGCCCTAGACGAACTCTCAACACGGTTGGCAGCACTAAGCGGCCGCATAGATAGTGCTGTCGAAGTCAACCATTCGTTAGCGGCGCAGCACGCTGCCGCGCAGGGTACGATTACCGTGCTACAGGACAAGATCACTGCGCTGGAGGCGCTGGTTGCGGACCAGCAGCTCGAGACGCAGATCGCTGCAGCTGTGGAGGCCCAGCTCGCAAAGGCTGTAGAGAGCGCAGTGGAAGCCCAGCTTCGCGCACAGAAACAACAGCAACAAGCCTCTGCAGAGGGATTGACGGCATTGATGGCTGAGTGGAAGAAGGGTGTAGAGGGGCAATGGAGCGCAGTACAAGAAGAATGGGGCACGGAACGCGAACGACTGCGCCGGGCCTTCGAGGGGCTAGAAAACGGACTAGAGTCACGGGTATCGACTGTCGTTGCTTCGCACGTGCAAGCGCAGACGCATGCAAGACTTCAGAATGGCGACCTCAAGCTGCATACTACGAATGGGCCGAACCCTGTAGGTGGTGGACTGGTCACCCCTCCGAGTCCTGTGAGCGTCGCTTCTAACCCTGGTCGGGGGAAAACTCGACGACGAAGACGCTCGAGATCGACATCTGTGTCTTCGATCGAGTTGGACGATGAGGCGCACAAGAATGGGAATGGGATCGTGGATGGGAACGATGTGGGTCGATCACGATCGCCTTCACCTGGACCGTCGATTACGGGGAGCGAGCCTGAGGTGGAGGGCGAGCTAGAGAAACTCAAGGGCGTACAACCTCTTACCCCAGAATCATCTATTACCGATTCCGGGGGGACGGATGATATTGATCGAAAACCGCAAATGCAGATGCAAACACAGACGGAGGTGGCGCAGCGGGTGAGTGTTTTCATTTCGCCCACACGAATGCCAAGTGCTGATCCCTTGATACAGCTACATTCGCCAGCAACGACGATGACGGCTGCCTTCGGCGTACTCGTCTTGAGCATCGCTGCAGCTGCCGTGATATATCGTATGAAACCTGAATAAGCAAATCTTAAGGGGGAGGGGTGCGTTTTTTTTCTATTCCCACACCCGTCTCCCTTTTTGCGGTTCGAAATGGATAAAACGTATGAGTACAAGTACAGTTGGTGTGGAACGTGCATGCATCGGACGGTTCGGGTCCGCCTCTCTCTCTCGTCTGTCTGTCAATCTGTCCCTCACTCGCTTTGACGCAACGCATTCATTCAATTCTCAACTTTTACTTCCATATCCTTCGCTATGGCATATCACCCCACCATACCACCCGTCCATGCACTTCCACGCATCGCATCGCATTACAATTATTTTATCCTTTTCTTTTCCTTTTTTGTCAAGTTTGTGAAATGATGAATCGGTTTGTTTTCTTCTTCTTGTCGTTGTTTATGCGTTCTTTTTACTTACACTTTCTGTGTATACTTACGTATTTTTATGCGTGTCTGCCTTTTCTATGCGCTCGAGTTCTTAATGACAGTCATGACTTTTTCTTTGGTGTGGGTGTATGGCGAACTTGGGGGTTTGAGGTATATATGAATTGTTTGACAAGTCGTCGCAGTAGGAGAACGGGACGTCGGTTCATGGACGTGTCTGTAGCTATCTTCGGCCTGAAGGCAGGGGGCAAGAGATCGAAGGAATCATTTTTGACGATGAGCTTGATAATTGCCTGACAGAGCAAACATACAAATTCTTGCAAAAGTAGCAAATATGAAAGCTGGACTCGTGAAGCATCTGCAGTGGGATGAGCCCGATTGCAGCTCCGTGTAAGTGTATACAGTAAGTAATCCCTGCCGCAGAACACCCGACGAGTGTTGACCACTTGGAACGCTCTCATTACTACACACTACCGCCAGTTGACGCGCGTAAGCATTCTTGGAAAGTAATTGTAGCCATGCCAGTTCCTGCATCGAAGTTATCCACAAGCTTAGCGTAGCATTCTCGAACGCTAAGAATGAGGCGGGGTCTCAGCAGAAACATTTGCATGAGCATGGCAATTTGACAAACACCACCCCCGATTCTCGCGACTTCCACCGAAGATACGTCCTAACAGAAATGATGAGGAGCGCTAGGATGCAGATGTCAGTCACAAATCGACATACCAACAGCTTCGTAGACAGCGAGCCGAGGGCGAGGAAAGAAGTAGCAGTAAAGCTATCGCGTGCAGAACTTCAGCGGAAAAAAAGGTAATCACGATACAACTAGAGCTCAAGCTGCAAAGTAAAACACGTGAGTCTTGATTAGCATCGTGAAACGGTTCCCGATATTCCATCCTGTCAATGGTCGCTGCAGTTCACGGAAGTGCTTTGCAGCAATCCAGACTGAAAGGCAGAAGGCGAAGACCTCCCATACTGTAGTGAGTATCCAAATTCCGGCATTTAGAAGTCGTGGGTCTTTCTCAGCCTCGCGAATGCACTGACAGACGCCGGGCACCAAATGTTCTGGTATTTATCTGATGAGTCTGATGCGCATAAGAATTTCATTCAGAACTAAAGCTTACCAGTCATATGGCTAGTTTCTCTCGCAACGATCACTCCGCAGGCGATCGTGACAGCCAGGGAGGCTATGATCAGAGACATGAATATAGTTCTAGATTGCTGGTATATGGCATGTAACCGAGCGATCATGATGACTTGCATGATAAAGTTAATATCACTGAGGTACTGCAGATGAGTAGCCCCTCTAGCATGGTGCTAACGACCAGAGGCATCCACGATTGTGCGAAGTGAAGAATAGTGCCTGTAATTACAATTACTCATGAGCCTCGCAGGGTCCATTGCCCACCGAAAACTCACACCTGTCGCAAGTCATTATATTGACAAGCTGGTCGGGAATCTCACTTCACTCCTACGTATGAGTGCAGTTAGTTGGACCGGAATCGCAGGCATCAGCGCACAATCAGCGCAGAACACTCACTACATTCGTCATTGGGACCGACGGAAAAACTGCTGCATGCTGCTTGTCAGAAGAAAGAATGTGTATGTGAGGATCGTACACAGAATGTTGATGCTGATCATGAGAGATGGTTTATTAGTACAGTGCCAACTTGTTGACCTTGCAAGCATACGCAAAATATGGAATTCCAACGCAGCGCACCTATAATTTTTTTGATGTCAATACAACTTGCCAACTGTGTATGAGATGAGCTACGGACACCAAAATATAGGACAGTCATTAGGAACCAGGAATGCCTCTGCCCCAAATTGATCGAATTATCCAGTAGCTCTGAGTTGATGCTCTGCTCACCCAGACCAGTTCAATCTGTAAAATCATCGTGAGCGGGACAGCCACTCCGATACTGATGGCATTAGCCTACCTCTCGTCCGGATGTCAACGCTGGAAATTGCAGTAAGGATATCCATCGTTCCTTCAAAACTACCTTGCTTACCCCAATCGTACACCATGACAGTAGAGGATGCGACTGCAGAATAAAAAATGATGTGAGACGTGACCAACATCATCCGGCTTGCTCTCCATGCACCTGAAAATAGCTGGATAACGATTCGTCTTAATCATTCGCCACCAGCTGGGATCACTCAAGACCAGTATGGTCATATTTCAGGCCTTGGCGTTAGTTAGTGGCGAACTTGGTGGACACATATCGATGACGGCGTTCGTCCTGGATATATTACCATCCAGCGCTTGCGTCGCCGGCTGACACAGGCATTAATGCCACACAGGGGCTATGGATATCCGTTCTTGATAGCCTTGGTCGTTCGTAGTTATGCATCACTGTTGTATGAAATGAGCTAGGATCCTCTAGCCAGACATATGGAAAGTTTTAAGACAGTTTTAATGTGCAGAAAGCAGAAGCCAGCTACTACGGGCGCCCTCGAGTGAATCATAGTAAACTTTGCGGGGGTTCGTATTGGAGCTGCAACTTGAGTTCTTCGTACTATAGCCAACTCTGGCTGAACGATGTGAAAAGCTGTTTAGGATATCGAGAAAGCGTTTCGATGCCGTTCTTGTGTTCTCGACACTAGACATTTTAGGAATGGGAAAAGACACTGGCGCGAGTGCTTCCTAGAACCGCTCGGGATTGCATCATGATGGTGCCGGAACGTTCTTGAGAGACTTTTGATAACTTTTGATGAGATTTATGCGGCCGTCGGTCTAGGTCGGTCTTAACACCAGATCTAACCAAACAAAGGTGTGATACTACATACTTAACCTTCGAGAAAGTCATCATGCTTGTTGTCTGTCGACGAGCGCCTGCTCTCTCTCCGCGGAGCATAAGTAAAAACTCAGAGCTAAACAGACGGAGTCTCAGAGTCCCGACTCACCAACCTCTCTCACCTCAGTTCAATGGGTTCAATGCGACCCCTTGCAGTTGCAGCTTGCCTTCTCCGCATACGGTGGGCACAGCACCATCCTGTTCAACAAGTACCTTTTGAGATCAGTCGAAGTCCGAGGAGAGAGCGAGGGACATTGCCGAAAAAAAACCGAACAATTGCGTTGACCTTTCAAAGTTTGCATACATAATCGCCAACAACACGATGGTCGGTTCACGTTACACGTACTAGCACGTATAAGTACTTTGCTACACACGAGAAGCACGAAGTACGTTTTACACAAAAGGTCTCATCAAAGGTGACTGTCAATTACAATTGATTTGAGGATTGATCAAAATTTCTCAGATCTCCAGAATCATAGTAGTTCTGGCTGAAGCGTCCGACCGACACATTCTGGTGTACATAGCCACCGGTTTTGGCTATGCGCAAGCTTCACAGAGGCTCTAACTTGAGTAGACAAAAAACGGGGGAATTGTTGAGCTGGTCTGGTAGCCCAAAGAGAACCCTTGAAGCTGTGAAATCTCTGTCATAAGTACAGGCTGCAGGCTGTGCATCAAATGCCACTACTGGCTATCTCCGCTGATTCCCGTCAGTGATTTGCAGCTTCCTCATGATCGGATCATGATGACCAGAACTTGTTGCTTGCAATATTATTATATATCATGTATTGCTGTGAACTACTAACGGATACTTTCGTTTTCCTTCTTGTCCTGCAGTCATGCCATTCGTCTCAAACAACCCACACTGGCTGGGGCAGATCGGGGAAGCCCAGATATACGGCTATTTTATCGGTGTGTACGCCCATGTAGAGGCTCGCCGTTTTTTTCGCTCTTGGATACTGAATCATCTCTCCTTTTACACAGTCGCCTCATCTGTGGTGGTGATGTATGACTACGGTGAGCGAGTTACGAATGTCGCCTCCTGCGCGTTGTTGATCACCTTATCTCACTTTATTAGTGCTTGGAGTCGGGGAAGAAGTACGTTTACAGGCCATTTTGTCGTCGCATTGAGCTAACGATAGCAATTGATTAAGTTCGAGTTGATCTGGGTGAGTTGAAGAGGCGAACTCTTGTCGATGCAGGATACTTACTTTCGCCAGGGAAAACGCTGGTCGTTCATGACCTTTCTGTATGCCCTCGTTCGTAACCTCTTTCATGATTTGATGAGCGACTCTCGCTGATATTGGCAACTCAAGGTTCGTTATACAGGTATACTGTATGCTGTGTCAGTCCTTAAGTGCTCGCGCTTTTACTTCGAACTCACATGATATCATTCCAGCGCGAATATACTTTGTATGTATCGGTGTCGTTGTCATCGACAAGCTTCACGCTAAACGATCACAGTCAACACACCAACAATATATATGCCTGACTCGGTATGTACTACATCAATCATACTTGGTTTCTCGCTTTCTCATCATATCATTCCATAGGGGTCAGTCTCACATTTTTTGCACTTGCGCTTCAATATCTAATTCATTCATCAACCTTCGGACCTTGATAGGTGTGAGTTGCTCGACGATCGTTCGATGGGAAGTAGGTTGTGCTCACAAAACGTATTATAGGTGCCGTCATGGAACTTATCATGTACTGGTCTTCGATGGTGGTTAACGCAGCGTTAGGTGGTACGTGCTGTCGTTAACTTGGTGACATATCGGCTTAACTCTTTCGGTGTGGAGCGATCGTAATTGTCCGAATATATGCCATGTACCAACGGTCGAGGGTAGTCCTCACTGGATTAATCATCATTTTTATCCCGTTTACCCTCAGCGAGGCAATAATGGGCGGCCTGGGTGCTAAACCGATAAGACTGTCAATATGTAGGTCGGCACATTGATTCTTGCGTATGTATGTTCATGTTCGTCACAAACAGCGGAAGAATTTGTCCTATTCGGCACGTACGAATGCATCTCCTTGACCCGATCTCGCCTCGTGGATGAAACATGGATTCTTGGAACGACGTGGGAGCTCTTGACGTTCCTGCTGGCAATGTGGATCTTCGTGAAGCATCTTCTCGAACTGCGCAAGACAACCCCGGATTGGGGCATAGAGGACTGCTTTTCGGTCTTGATGAAAAATCACGCGCTTTACTTTTTCGCGTGAGTCATTTGCCCTAGTCAATTAACCCCACTCAAGCATTGTAGTTTTCTGCTCACATGTAGCATGAACCTCAGCAACCTATACCCAGGGATTGTGCGTTTATTATATCTGATGGCGATTGATATCCGTGTTGATGTACGTGGCAGGAAAACAATCCGACTGGGTACATCATCCACGAGGGATTCTTGCAACTTTTCACTACCATTCAGCAGTTCATTCTTGGACCCCGACTTGTGATCAGCATGCGACGGTATCATGCCCAGCTTGTTTCAGATTCTGACATGGCTACGCAGATGTCAACGATAGCATTTGGTGAAGGGAGATGTGCCTCTGTGGGCGGTGCTGACAGTGCTGTATAGACTTAGATGCGAACTTGGTGCGGAAATGAAACTTTGAAGTGTGACAAACCACAAACTCAGCGGGACTCCGAGTCAGCGCTCGTACTGCTAGTCTCCCCAAGTCAGGCCTTGAAAGAAGGAAGACAGTTGTTCCTTGTTCCGCTCGTACTACCACCAAGACTATTAATATTTAGCACCTGAATCTCCATATACATTATTTGTGTAAATATGATACGGTTTACTGCGCGTGATGAATAGGTTTACAAATCAAGTCCGCACTAGCACTATGTAACTAACGCCCGAGGTAGTATAAAAAGTATACTAGTATCAGGTCAGATCAGCTTTGTATCTGACCATCTGTTTCTTACTCTTGTCCGATTTTCAGCTCTCTGGTTACGATTGAGAGATGTCTAGTGATCAAAGCATGGCGAAAGTGCCCACCACTGGCAATCCCGGATATTTACCTTACTCGCCTCAGACCACCAAAGCTCAGACCCTTCCATTGTCGTCTCTCGCAGCGCACAACATACACACCGTGCGCATTACCTGGGTTGATCTAATCAACGATACTCGCATTCGTGTTCTTCCCCTCTCATCCTTTCAGCGCCTTCTCGCCTCCTCTAGACCGGGGATAACTATCTCCCAATGCCTCTTCGGCATCGCAGGTATCAGGATCGCATCTGGGTTTGGGGCCACAGGGGAGTACCTGCATGTGGTGGACTTATCATCCATTAGATTGTGTTCCTATGCACCGGGTCATGTAAGTATTATGGGCTGGTTCCAGGACAAGGTCCCTGCTCCAGGTCGGGTGCTTGGCACGGGTGTGCCAATGTGTCCACGATCAACACTGAAACGTATTGTCGAGTGCGTCCTCTCCAACACAATTTGAATGTTGAACTTAATTAGACCTTCAGCACTGCCAAATCTCACAATGCTGCGTTTCTCGTTGGATTTGAGACCGAATTTATTCTCCTCAAAAGCACGAATCCGATCGAGGCGGTCAATTCGCACGGTTGGAACGACTCGCGAGCGCTACTTTCAGGAACCAAAGAAACAGAAGTGATCGAGGAGATCGCGCATGGACTCGTCGATAGTGGGATCGAATTGATGATGTATCATTCCGAAGGAGCGCCAGGGCAGGTTGGTGGTCCCAACCTCTTGTTCGTGATTTCCGGTGTGCTAACTGCATGCTGCAACATAGTACGAGATCGTGACGGGTCCACTGCCACCTCTTGAAGCTGCTGATGCGCTCGTACACACACGGGAGACGATCGTCAACATCGCAAGCAAGCACGGGCTTCGTGCGACGTTTGCACCCAGGTTAAATATGGATAACTGTACGCGCTATTCCTCGCACCCTGAGTCTAGTATCTTCTCTGATTTGCACTCTCATATAGGTGGCAGTGGAGCACACACTCACATCTCTGTGCACCCTGTCAGTTCTGGACAACCATCTGGAACTCAGTCGCCAGCGAGTAACAAGAATCAGGCATCAGACAATCTTCTCACTCCTCTCGAACGCGTTTTCCTAGCTGGTTTACTCAACCACCTTCCAGCTGCCTGTGCCTTCACACTACCCCTACGTGCCTCCTATGCACGCATGCTCGATGGGATTTGGAGCGGTGGTACATGGATCGCGTGGGGGAAGGATAACCGCGAAGCGCCTGTGCGCTTTTGTGTTGCTCCTGTGCACGTAGAACCAGAGCCTGCAACCCCCGCCAACGCTGCGTCGAAGAACCGCTTTGAAATCAAATGTATAGACGGCACGTCTTCCCCCTACCTCGTTCTCTCCGGTCTCCTCGGCTCCGGGCTCCTTGGTATCCAATCTCAAGCACCGCTCGTTGAGCAGAGTTGTGCTAAGCCTGCTGCAGAGATGACAGAGGCAGAGAGGGAGACAATGGGCGTGAGGCGGCGTATGCCGTTGACTTGGGAGGAGGCGAGGGCTGCACTGGAGGGAGATCAGGCGTTTAGGGGCTTGTTTGGGGGCCTTGTGGAGGGATTCTTATCGGTGGGGAAGGTGAGTCATCTGTTTGTTGGGTTGTGATCTATTGTGTTTTCTTCACTTTTCAACTTTCTTGCCATATGATGTTCGCGGATGCTGATAGATCCTTGTTTTTAGACTTTGGATGAGCTTTTACACTCTCCGGCAAGCGAGGCGGAGAGAGTACAGATGCTCGTCGAGACTTTTTGAAATGGCAAGCTTTCAGGTTTCTTCAATGGTCACCACGCTTTGTTTGGATAGGCCTGTGTTAGATGATGATCACATGATTCGTTGATCATCGCTCCTGAAGGCCGGCAGTTGAACTGATGCAAGTGTCGTAAGAACAATGTTCCCGATCACCACGATGTTCACAGCCTTTTGGGGCCTCGGTATTCAAGAATTCCGCGGATGGGACTACATACTATATAGTATGACGGTTTCCTGACGCTTTGTTAGTACCAGAATTCACGCAATCCCCATGCGTGAGCAATGTGTGCACGTTCACATGAAGTGATCGTATCTTGATATCAGGGTTTTTCACGGTATCCGGCGAACTCGCCGCCAAATAATTGTCTGAAACGTAGATCATCGATGGCGTACAAAATCTCGACTCAAGAAACAAGTGCGTTGAAAGCCCTACCCCATGACACCCAGGTGCGATTTTGGCTGGTAATCACAGCTGCACACAGACCCAATACTTATATACGTCTCACTTCTAGCAATATGCCCTACGTGGAAGCGTAACAAACCTTGATCTACTCGTGAAAAACCTGCCTTCTTCACGTGAACACAAACTGATCTTGCTCCCGGTGTTTCATGCTCTCCTGGATGCTTCTTGTATACCTGAAGTCGTGACGAGGACACGCTCCATTGAAATCATCCAATTGCTAAGTACTGTTTCCTTGGGATCGTGAAAGTCATTGCCAGTGGTGATCCCCAAGCCGGTGCACATAATTCGGCAGACGCAGATTCCCATCATCACCCGCTTTCTGACCTCCAAGTGGGATAGTATGCTATTCCCATAGACGGCGAGGGCCGCAAGGGAAGTAACAGCGAAGAAACGAGCGAACATTGTGTTGGGTAGAAAGACTAGGGAAATGCGTTGAAAGAGTGTGGGGGAGCTTGCAAGTGGAGAGCTGGTTGAAAGAGGTGGATTCTGAAGAATCAAACGCATTGCAGTTCGCCTTTTATACCATGAAGGCACGCTGCGACCCGGCTGCTCCGCTTTGCCGATGAGCTACTTACCGCTAGTCGGGCCATGGTCTAGAGCGTAGAAGCAATTGAATGTGTTTTACGTGAATCTCATCTTGGCAGCCATGTTGACCGAATAAATACTGATGATCTGGCTCGGGGGAACACCAGAGAACGTCACAAAGTTGCTCTAATGCTGTATAGTCCGAATGCCGTAGTTGAGCGATATGCGACTTGATGTGCCTCCTGGAGTTGGCTGGAATGACTATCTGATTGACTTCTTACACAGCCGAGGCGTAAATTTTTCGAACTAAGTGTCATTTTGTCGGTGACAGACGTACCGCACAACATAACTCAAGTAGCACAAACCATGTGCACTTGCTTATCGGCATAACATCGAGCTATATCCACCCGGGTCACCGGTATGGCCCGGTTGTGATCGACGGGTAAATACTGAAAAATGACACGGACTGGCCCACCGTGGATGTCTGTGGAATGGAAGCTATAACACAATTAATGTGACTAGACTACATACACCAGTCGGATGAAGAACCTGATGATCATGAGAGAAGCTCTCTCACCTAGTCTCTTTTAGACAGACCATAGACGAAAGAATATAGTTGTTGTTTTGGTTGAAAGCAAAGGAGAGATATTGATGAGGCCCCTGCCAGTGGAAGCTCCCCTATACTTCGTACTGATTAGCCGTGGCTGTGCAGCACACGGCTCAATATTCAATACCATCGATGGGCAAGGACAAGAAGCATACAAATAAAGCTGCTGCAAAGGCGGCAAAAAAGCAGAAAGCAGAAGCCAAGGTTACTAAAAAAGAAAAGAAGAAGAGCAAAAAAACGACTGATGCACCTTCAGAAGACGAAGATTTGGAGGCCATCCTCGACAAGGTGATTTTCATCACATGCATCCGTGATCGTGCTGATCCAATCGTGCATGCTAGTAGATGAAGCATGAGTGGGAAGATGCGCACAAGGTCACGGAGGAGTTGGTTGAGGGCCCACCCTCCAGGCGCGCGAATGCGACTCTGACCCCATGTCCAAGCGGGAACTACTTGTGGTGCATCGGAGGAGAATTTTTCAGCGATGATGGCAAGGCCTATTTCTACAACGACGTCTACCGCTACAACCCTGACAAGGACGAGTGGCGCAAGTTCGTCAGTCCTACATGCCCTGGGCCACGCAGCGCACATGCCGTGATCGCTTCGCCTGCTGGAGGAGGAAAGCTCTTCCTATTCGGCGGCGAATTTAGTTCTTTGTATCAGAATACTTTTCATCACTACAGGGATTTTTGGTGCTTTGATATCAGCACTCATTCGTGGGATCGTTTGGATACTAAGATCAGGCCCAGTGCGAGGTCAGGACATCGGTACGTAAGAAATGCTTGCGTACTTCTTCTATGCTTAGCGTGATACAGGATGGCAATGTGGAAGCACTACATAGTCCTCTTTGGCGGTTTTTATGACCCAGGGTTTCGCAGTACGTCTCTAGCATGGGATGCCGCTTGTTCATTATGCACTAGCATATATCAATCAAGCCCAATATTTAAACGACACCTGGGTATTTGACACTCAAGAGTACAAATGGCGACAAATCGATTTTAAGGATACTGATCGGAAACCGTCGTGCGTTGTTCCATGTTTACTTCTGTGACTTGGACCTAACCTTGACCACTACGTAGCGCAAGAAGCGGGTTTTCATTTCTTTCTACGCCAGACGGCCTTGTTTTACATGGTACGTTCTCAATTTCGTCATCTGACACCACTTCTCTTATAATACATGCAGGAGGTTATTGTAAAGAATACACCAAGGGTAAACGTCCTGTTGGCGTGATGCTCGACGACACCTGGTTTCTCCGGTAGGATTTGCCGTTTTTTGCTTCCTATCACACCTCATCTCGCACACAGCATGTCCCTCGAAACTTCCCCGTCTCCATCCTCGTCCACAGTCTCCTCGGATCCGCTGGTTTTAAAATGGGAAAGGCGAAAGAAACTATCCTTCGCGCCGCACACCCGTAGTGGTTGCACGATGGCGCTGTGGTCAGCCAAGGGTATGGGCATCCTGTTTGGCGGTGTGACAGACGATGAAAGGGATGAAGAAAGCCTCGAGAGCGTGTTCTGGAACGATCTGTGAGTCATTGTAAGGAGCCTGGGTATTCTTGTGCAGGTTTTTTATACGGGTTTCAAACACGGGATCGCCTCGTGAGATGTTATCTTTGCTTGCGTGCTCTGTCGATCGTGGAACAGGAGACTGACCGACTTTTGCGTAGCTACGGATACCAACTCGCTGGTAATGGGCGTTGGCAATCGATGACACTCAAGAAGCCGAAAAAGGCTGGGAAAGGTGGAAGGCAAAAGCCTGTAGCTATTCAGCAGGGTGCACATGAAGATTCGGACGAAGATGATGATGCAGTCAAGACCAAAGAGACTAAGCGCCCTGAGGTCTGATTTCACTCATGCAGGTGGTGTTGGATATTGAGAAAAGAATAGCAGGAGCCCGATGTTGATGCTGACGACCCAATGCTGACGGCCCCAATACCACGGTACAACGCTATGCTAGCTGTGCTGAGGAACACACTGTACATGTACGTGGTTTCTGTAACGATCAATCGTGCCTGAATCACGTCTCCTCCCCTATCAGCTATGGCGGCATCTTCGAGCGTGGGTCGCGAGAATACACGCTCGACGATTTCTACTCGATCCAGCTCGACAAGCTTGAACGGTACACGTGTCTCAAGCACAGCGGCATCGTTATCCCAGCTGAGGGCGACGAGAGCAGTACCGACGAGGATGACGAAGATGCGGAGAGCGATGAGGACGATGACAGTGATGACGAGATGCGGATAGGGAAAGATGATGCGGACTTCAAGCTTAAAGTGCTCAGCGAGAACCCCATCGATGAAGTAGACGAGCCCGTAGATGTACGGGTGAGTGCACACATTGGGTTACGCAGTTGGTGCAGTGAAGATTGACGGAGCATCAAAGCACCACGAGTTACATGCGCAAGCGACAGCGTTCATGGGTGTGTCTAAAGACACCACGCGTTCTGCGGAGGATGTGATTAGCACACCAGGACCAGGTGAAACGCTAGCCATGTTTTATGCTCGAAGTCGTAAGTTTTACTTTATTCACAGTCTGCCCTTCAGCACTGATGATCATCAAGGCGAATATTGGACACAGAAAGCCCACGGCGTGAGTGAGAATCGGGGAAAACAACTCAGGAGGGATGGCTTCAGCTTTGCAGAAGAGCGATACGGTACGCTTCATCATATTTGGTCGGTATTGACTGCGGGTCGCTGATCATACACTTTGTGCACCGTTAGCGGAGTACAAGCCCATCCTTGAAGAAGTGGAGAAGATCCTATCCGAGGCCGGCCTCGATGAGGACGAGATGAGAACAGGTGCTGCTCAGACTGGCGGATGCGGAGGTATATTATCAAGTCGGAACCGTCGGTGAATAGTTGATATCGCAGGATATATTTGACAAGGGTGTAACAAAATTATAACATACCAATCTGGTCAGCATTAACAGGTTCAGTTTTCATTTATAACCCGAGTGTTTCAGCAGGTTTACCTGTCTAAGGATGTCAAAGGCGCCCGTGCTGCACGTGTCTACAAAAGCTATTCATAATTGCGAGGCTGTTCCGCCTGATTACAAGGCGCCAGTTGAACAGGTGACTATTATCCCTTATGCATATGCATATATATGGCTTTGCGACTCGACATTTCACACCTCGACACTCTTGATCACTGATCACCTATCCGAATCACTTGGTTATCGTTCAGCACACACTGCTACAGCGCCTCATGGATCTCGGATTGAAAGGAGTGCATGTCCTCGTTACAGGTCGTACTTCTACGATATCCTATGGCACTACTGACCTGACAATTCGAGCAGGGGCAAGCGGCGCCATCGGGCTCGAGACTGTAAAATTGTTTTGCGGTATATCAGACATTTGTTCTTGAATGACGAGTATTGAGTTGAAAACGTCAGCGCTGGGTGCCAATGTGACCGCACATTATAACTCGAAGTTTGGCCCGATCCAGGAGCTTCTGGCTTCGAACGCCAATCTTCAACATGTCCAGGCGAATCTGTCTCAAGAGGAGGCCGTGGTGGCTATGTTCGAGTCGCTGTCTATTATGCCTCATGGCCCCGCTCAAGTAGCCATCGTCAACCACGCCGTATATCCTACGTCAGATGTCCCCATTGCAAGGATGACACTGGACCGGTGGAACACCACCATAACTACGAACCTGACGTCGTCATTCCTGGTGTGTAGAGAGTATTTGAAGCATCTTGAAAATGCGTCCTCTTGTATCAAGGAAAAGGCAGCGATTGTGCTTATCGGAAGTACTGCTGGGAAGTATGGTGAAGCCAACCACGGGGACTACTCTGCGACAAAGAGCGGTAAGTAATGATTTCCTGCGCAATTAGGCACAAACTCATCATATTCTAGCAATGATGTACGGGTTGAATCTGACACTGAAGAACGAAATTGTGAAGATAGCCCCAAAAGGCAGGGTCAACTGTATTGCTCCCTGGCTGGGTCAAGACATCCAGGACTAAAGTAACCTTGAAGGATCCTCAAACCGTGTATCGCGCATTGGCCACGTCAGTGATATCATTATCATGCATGACTCAGTACGCAATTCATACTGAATTTTGTGCCACCGTAGGATTCCGCTCAAGAAGGTGGCCATACCAATGGATGTCGCAACACAGGTTGTGGTTCTTGCGTCGTCTACCCTCTCTGGACACGTCACAGGTCAAGTAGTGATGGTTGAGGGCGGAATGGAGGGTAGACTCCTAAACAGACCAGAAGATTTGCAAGGATCTTGACTCCTTTTTACTTCCTTTTTTTGGGGGGATAAACGCTTCGTCTATGTAAGGGATAACCATAGCTTGATGGTTTTGGCAGAATTAGCGTAGCGCTATTATTGCAGCACAGGGAAAATATCCTCCTGATGGTGGGACGTCTTCGATGTTGCTTACAATTCATGCTTGCTGCCGACGCGGGATACTATCTCTTGAGTGCACGATTGTACGGGTGGTGCAAGGTGTGTCCAGTCCTAGAATGATACTACCACTCGATCTTCGTGGTTGCCTATGCAATGCTCGAACACGTCCTGTTGTCTCCTGAGGCCGTTGTGCATAAGCATAAATATGAGTCGTACGACCTACGGATTTATCTCCATATAGCATCCTTTAAAACTTACTTATTATCTTTTTGTACCTCTTCCTTGGCGCTGTCCAACCCTTCCCTACCATCCCCCAGGGTGGCCAAGCGTGTGCTGTATATAGTTGAGCGTCGTGTCAATCGACCAGTGTTACGAAATTGGACTCGTTACGCTGCGGCTATGGACTTGGCCGCAGTCAGCTGATAAGACTGCCAAGACAGCGGATTGGAGGTCACCGCGGTCACCGCAGAAGAGGCGCTTTTAAGTCATGAAGGACAGAGAAATAATGAGCACGCACCATTGCTGCGATGTTCCTTGGTGTTCGTTCAAGCCAGCACGTTGCTTTATACAGACCTGTGAAGGTGTTGAAATTATGGCCATCCATATCCAAAACCGTACGCATCTTCGATTAGACAATGACGCTATAACTACGGCGCGCCTTCGAGGCAGAGCGTTCCCTCGGTTGTGGAGAGTTGCTACAATGCCTGTTGCGTTGCTGAGCGAAGGGGGGGAATACAAGTGCATTGGATTATCAACTACACTGAAGAGTTATCGGTCAGCCTAAGATTCCGCACAGATGGCCGGCCTCCTTAACTTGCCAAGCGATCCGTTTTGGACGGCGAATTTGAGGTTGAACTTTTTACCTCTTGACAGTTAACCAATTAGATAACGCACCTCCTGAGCCTACTTCCGGCAACACCCAGGCTGATGTAATGTAAGTATGTGTACTACCATCATTATGTTGTATGTAATGATAGGGTCGATGGTGTGCAGGGAGTTCTGGAATTTCTGACATGCTGCTACTACATGGCAGGCTGGCAGCCGCCCATCATCGATTAGCGTTCATGGCAAATCCTTTGCCACGCGTACATTATGTCATGATCACATAGATCTTCATACATAGCTCAGATCACTGAAGGGCATTCGAAAAGGAGGACTGAAAGAAGAGGAATCGGTGACGTTTGTAAGTGACTCGATCTGGCAGCTATATTTGGCAACGGCCTCTGATCCAAACAACCCTTACGGAAATGTTCCTGCCAAGTGCCACCAAGTGCTTTGGTTTACCTGATTCTATGGGTCACCGGCCCTCTTTCTGATTACATGACTGACCCGAGATTCCCCGAATTCATGCTAGCCTTGTCGTGTCATTGTCATGTCAAACAAGGCGAAGGGCCAAGGAGCACCGCCTATCATTTCACTTCCGTGGAAAGCCTACCACAGCTTGTCAAGGTAAATACCATGATGAGTCTATCTTTGTCCTGGGTCTCAATGAATTGGCGTATCCACAGCACGATTTGAGTGGGCAAGCTTAGAGTTTCGTTGATCTTCACTGATGCCACTCGAAAATTCCGGGTTGCTCACTGGCATCGGTGCATCCCTTTCATCCTCGTGTTTCAACGGTTATCGGCTTCTTTTACAGTGCCAAGGTTGAAAAATCGCGATAAAGGCGGATAAACGGTGGGTAACGAGTTAATGAAATCATGTCATGGAAACTCCATTCATACCCTCAGGCAGTGCTCGAATCGTTCTCGAAGTTAGAGGCCTGAATAGGTTCAGTCGGACTGGGGGTATTTAAATTACCCCTTCCTCTCATTTCCTCCAGGATCTATCTCCTTACCTTGATCGCTCCTCCGTCTTCTAGAACACGCCGGAGGATCCTCTCTGGCAGTACTAGTAGTAGCACTGACATTCGGAAGCTGTTGGGATCACCCAAGTCATCGACATGACCGCCGCACACGACAATATCACGGTAGTGTTGCCTCCACCAGTCGTCCAGAAAAAGTCCTCGTATTCTTCAATATGGGAAACCAAGTGCAACTTCGAAATCGATGCGTTGGCCATTGAAAACGATGTGACGGTCATGGCGAGGTTGAAAAAATATTTACTTGTGGAAGTCGATGCAGAGCAATCTACATTGCCCATGGCTGTCTATTGCTTCATGACTGGTGTCATGTGCGTACATCATTATGAACATATTTCTCACTTCGTAACTGACTTTTGATTTTTTTTTCAGTAATGCTCTCATATTCTCAGCTATATTTATCTGGTGTGGCTCTCAGACAGGGAACACTGTGCAAGTATGAACACTTCCAAAAATGAGAAAACCCCAAGCTAATGTTCGACACATAGCTTGCGCTTGCCGTTGCTCGCCTTCTCAACTGGGACCACGATTCCACCTTCCGCCTTGTAGACCAACAAGCACTTTGCTCATTAATATCTTTCGCGTTTGCCATCTTCCTCGGCGGCGTCATAGGCGACAAGATAGGCTGCAAGACAAGGGCATGGCTCTTCTTGGGTACATTCATTCAGGCCCTGTTCACGATAGCATCCGCAGTCTTAATGTGGGAAGGTAGAGAGAGCAGTGTTGCAGATGCTCGCTATGACCCCGCGTGGACTGACACGTTGTCATTTGCATTCACCGGGTTCCTGAGTGCAAGCATGGGCCTGCAGGGCGTCATGGCGAAGCGGGTCAACTCTCACTTCTCCACTACGGGTGCGCATCCACCGACTTTTTGTTTTTATATTTTTCTCATCCTGACCCACGCAGTTGCGCTCACGACGACATGGTGTGAGCTCATGGCCGACCCCAAGCTTCTTGACGTCCGTCGGCTGGTCCCCTCGCGTGATCACAAGATCCTCACTGTCATATGTTTCATGCTTGGAGGCTTCTTCGGCCGTGCGTCGCTCGACAAGATTGGTTCTGCTAACACGCTCGGAATCGCCGCGGGTATCCGTGTAGTCGTTAGCGTGTGGTGGCTCTTCGTTCCGGAGAAGAGCACCAGGATGTAAGCATAAAGCATTCTGTCTGTATGTACGTTGTGTTTTCTGATGAGGAGAGGAGGACAATGAGAAGGGATAAAATATTTGTATAGACGATACTGGGGCGCTGGACGATCGGTTATCAGTATTACATAGAGTTCTTTTTTTTGCATTCTGTAAGTTATCATTCTTATGACTTTGTACTGCGGCCGTCCAATATAGAGACGAGATACAAGTGACCAACCAATCTTAAGTGTCCGAACCACGTACCGCACAAGTGTACGCAGTTAATTTTAATCTGCTTAAAAGCTTATAAACCCAATCAATATCGCGATCATCTGTCAGATAACCCCTGTCTATGTCCACGGCGCTCTTTATAACGTTCGATTTACAGTCACGGTTGTGATGTCTCAACGGGCAATTTGTTTGGAATGATTCACATGGTAAATACACTGGTAAAGCCGACTCCATCGATCCGCCCATTGCCAATGTAGTAGAGATCGGCTACGTCGGGTGAAAATATGTTTTGGTCGGAGCGCTGTAGGCCTTCAAGTCGTGCATAAAAAAAATCCGTTGCGCAATAGTGGCGCGGCCCTTATCTTTGGCATTCCTCCAAAGTGTCCTTGGCATGCATCGTTATCTCTTCTGGATGTCGGTTGTTGCCGTAGACCGCACGGGGAGTCCTATTTTGTTTTTTTGATAAACCGACAAGTCCTGAATTTGTATTTCCTATCGAGAGCTATCCTCCATGGATAGCAGTTCGGTTATCATGAGCGCGCCGAACCGTACGAGCAACACTGTCATCACTGGGGGACAAGGTGGGTGTCCTGTGATGGCTTGATATTGGTATTTTGCCATTCAAGACGGCGGTCGTCACCAGTCATCAGTTTATGTGGCTGACGCGACGTCTATTTGGCAACAGCCTCAGATCCAAACAATCGTGTAAAATATTTTACAATGAGTGCTTACCGACTCCCAAGCAGCAACCGAAGTACCAAGGAGTTTGGTCTTTCAGATTCCGATCGTATCTGATAAGAGTTAGTAGATCCATTCATTTTGTGCAATGGGAGTGGAGTTACCGCGAGTCGGTGACAAAGTGGTGAAGAGAATTCGCTGCGAATGTTCTACTTCCACGCCACACATATCTCTATCATATCGTTGCAGGGGTCAAATGGAAACTTACGGCGTTGAGTCGATAATCTTCGAGGGTCGGGTACCTGTGATACCGGAGAAGAACATCAATAATCCTTCACCACTGCAGCTACAGTCACTTCCTTTGCATGGCAGTAAGTAAATTCAACTGTACGACAAGTGTCCCATTCATCTCACCTTGAGTATATTACGCGTCAGTCGGGATACCACGGTGCACTTGTCAAAATTCTATTGCTGCCTTCCGTCGCTACAAGCAAATATACGTTTACACATGTTGACGGCGTTTGAGAGGCGATTAACGAGTTAATGAAGGGTCAATGAACCAAGAACGTACAAAATCGTACCATGACGATGGAAATTTCAATTGAATGCCACCGCGTACATAACGTATTCCCGCTCGATCCTGAAAAACAGACTGAGCCTGGTGGGTACTCCGTTCAGCCGGATACATCGACGGACTTCTTCCTTAAAAGCGCAGGGTATCCTTCTTATTTCCTGTGAGGACTCCCTTCCTTTTGACTTTAATCTCTTCTCCGTTTCTGAGAACGAGCTTGAGCTCGACGACGACCCTGGTGGTGGTACCTTTGACGATTCAAATAGTAATTCAAATACTTTCGAAGTGATCAACATGAACGCCGCCCAAAACCAGACGTTACCTCCACCTGCCGTGCAGAGCGGGCAGAACTCGCAGTATTCGATGCAGAAGGATAACTGCGATGGTGAAGATAGTTCTATGACTATGGCGAAGTTGAAAAAACATTTACTTGCGGAAATTGATGGAGAGCAGTCTACCGCGCCCTTGTCTGCATATTGCTTCATGACTGGTTTCATGTGCGTAGACCTACTCTTCATCTACTTTGCATCTCACTCGTCATTTTTCCCCCAGTGATTCGGTTATTTTTTCTGCTGTATTTGTCTGGTGCGCATTCCAAACGGGAAACAGTGTACAAGTATGTGTACCTTTGCGATTGCAGAGGATCCTTCCTAACTAACATCATTCGATAGCTTGCCCTTGCCATCGCTCGCCTATTCAACGGGCAAAACGATCACTCCTTCCATATCGCAGATCAACAAGCGCTTTGCTCAGTGCTCACGTTCATTTTCGGTGCCTTCATCGGCCGCCTCGGCGATAAGATCGGCTGCAAGACACGACTGTGGCTGGCTCTCGGCACATTTATTCAAACCGTATTTACGATGGCTGCCGCTATCGCAATATGGCAGAGTAACTCGGGCAGCGTTGCTGATTCGCGCGCCGACCCTGCATGGACTGACACGCTGTCCTTTGTGTGTATCGGGTTCATGAGCGCGAGCATGGGCTTGCAGGGGATTATGGGGAAGCGTACCAATACCCAGTTCACTACTACAGGTATGTTTCAGGCGTCTCCAGGAGTTATTGGCGTTTTGTTGATCTTTATCTTCATACAGTTGTGCTCACGACGACTTGGTGTGAGCTCATGGCTGACCCCAACCTCTTTCACATTCGCCGACTCGTCATTTCGCGCGATCACAAAGTCATGGCTATTCTCTGCCTGTTTCTCGGGGGCTTTGTTGGTCGTGCATTGATCGACAGTATTGGTTCTGCTGGTACGCTGGGCATCGGCACAGGTATCCGTTTGATTATCAGCGTTTGGTGGCTTTTCGTCCCGGAGAAGAAGGCCAAGAAGTAAATGTGTATATGAAGTGCTCGTATACGCGATTATTCCGTGTGTAATTCTTTATTTCGTCGGGGATGACTAGAAGACGACATGCTACGTGTGGTGACGGGTAGAAGAGGATGACGAGAGGAGGATAGAGAGGAACTTTTAAGATTAGAGAGTCGAGGCTAGTAGCATATTGCATTTTTATTGTAGTATTGCATAGAGTTTTTTTTTTTGACCTTACATACCATAGCTATCGTAGTTCGAGGAATAGACATCACGGTTCCGCCCAAGTTTTGCCAGTGGACGTCATTTTGATATCTAAGGTTAGCTTATAAGTTGATTTAAACGACAAAATTTACCCAGCCAAGGTAAATGTCGTAAATTAGGTTCCTATGATACTACTTACACGATATACTTTGCCGCTCGCCGATAAGCCAGAAGCCAACCAGAAGCGCTGGATATGATGCGTCGTATTACCGCGCGTGAAATTCACACTGTACTGTGCTACTGCGACCAGCGCCAAAAAATGCCTCACTGGACTTAGGCGGCGTTAAAGAACCGAGCTTGCAGGATGTCTTCAGGGGTTCTATAGACTAGGATAACCGCTCTGAATCCAAGACGCCTCCTTATTCCTGCGTGTACTTTTGAGTATACTTTAAGATCGCTTTGACTGCAACTGGAGTATGAAGATAGGAGTTTGCCGCCAAGGTTTACCGAATGTATGGTTACCCAGGATAATCTTTGCACCCGTCGAATTTGCCCAGTGATAACTTGCGGGATTCTGGAGCGCTGCGCAGCACTTAATACAACCAACACCACTTTGACAGCGACTCCAACCTTGTGACTTGATGCGGCTACGCCAGTCGACTTGTCCGTGGTCTAGTATCGAATCTGTTAAATAGGGGCCTTGTCGGTGTGTAATATGGACTGATATGGATCCGAAGTACTGAATTGCAAAAATCTAGACGAGATTATATACTTCCAAACATGAGGCTAGATAAGATAAGAACAGAAGCCTATACTGAGAGAGTTGTGCTATGGCCTGATACGGCGAGTGACGTCGTATGATACAGACGGAATCAAAAAGGATAAGATATACTTTTACGATGTACCGGACATGATGTGATGCTATGGAAGGCCTGGATTTGCATAGGTTTACATTCCGGAGAAGACCAGAAGTATATATGCCTCAGTGCTGTGTGAGGTGCCCGCTGAATACTACCAGTGCAACGTCCCTAAGGCAAGTCGTCTGGCAGGGTTCTCGAGCAGTGCTGGTGCGGATATGGGTGGGTGGTCATGTTTTAGGGGACACGTGAAGTGTATTTAAGTATGTAAACAAGAAGACATGACACATGCGGAGTATTGCGGAGACTTCGGGGAGTGGTATTGATAAAGACCGAGACTGTGAGATCGGAAGACCGGTGAGTAAAGCAGAGAGTCTTAGCGAATTCGTTCCTGTTCCTTGCGAATGGGAGGATCCGAGTGACTGGGCACCAACGTTTAAAAGTTGAAGGCAAACACAGCAAGCCTGTACTGAGAGTCAAGGATAGTTCTAGAGTGGAGCTAGAAGCGTGCCCTGATCGTATTGCATGCTGGAGACACGAGGATACTGACCTCTCTTTGACTTGGCGGATAGGGCCGAGTAAGTCATGTGCCCGAAAGTAACGGGAACGTGTCAACTAAAAAAGGAAAGTATCCAAGGATGAACATTGGGTGATGTTCAAGCGTGCTCACCGCCTTCCATGGCCCTAGTGCCTCGGCTCTATGTAGTAGGTACTACTACTGCCTAGCGGTAATACGCGACGTCATTCCCCGTATGCTTTACAAACTTTGACAAGGTTATTATACCATGTGACTGGGAACTGGAGGTTTGGGGATTCCCTTACACACCAACTGATGGCAATCCCTTTCTCTTTTCTGGCGCAGACAGAGGGGACTTGACACGATTCCACACCCGATGCGATGCGCTGTGATCCCTTACAAGCGCTCATATCTGTAAATCTGACCCCAAGTCGTCATCTTCACCTCTTTCCTATACACAGAATACTCTTACAGCCTATTGGCCTCAACAGACACAGCGAGCTTGAGCTTGAACCCTCTCGTCGCTGCGTCGACCGGTGCATAGTCTACTATACATACGGTTGCCGAAACAGTTGTAGTCATTCTGTCAACAAACCTTCTCGTAAGCGTTTCTAGCCCCGCTAATTCATTCTCATTTTTCTGACTAGTGTAAACTTTCCTTTCCTCTAGACTTCTTTCCAAGAGACACGTTTCACTTCTCCTTCTTGGTTGACCTTCTCTATCAATTCAGACACTTACTACGCTGAGCGCCAACTACCCAACTATCTATCTACATGAACTTCTAGATATGGTCCTCGATCCCCCTTACAATTCTATTGTCGAACAACCACCCGCAGACTTCACGACTACCATCCAGTTTTTGTCGTTCAGCACTCATTCACCCGGTGGCGCAGCGCCTAGTATTACCGGCCCGCTCTCTCCGTTGACATTCCAGAGCTTGAATCCATTGAGCAGCCCAACCAACGAGGTTTTGGAAGGTTCAACATCGCCACAAGTCCTCACGGCATCCGGTGCAATGACTTCCCAGGTGTGTGTAACATTTCATCGTCTGTGGTCGATCAATGACATTCGCCCCATACGTTCTTCTCTTCCATGCCATCATTCACGTTGTATCTCCCTCTCACTTATCACAATTATCACATTCGCCACCATGTCCTCAACCTATGTCCTCGTTTACTTCTCATTCTCATTCCCCGTCACTTTAATGTCTTTCTATTCAATTTATAACCCTCACTTCAGCCAAATTTATATCCATCTAATACTGCAAATGGTTATTTGGGACAGTCCATTACCACCCCTTCGACAACTACGAGCACTGCATCCACCCTCTTGTCCAGTTCAACGTCATTCAGTTTGAGGTAAGTCTTGCCGAAACTATCCGAGGGTCTTCATATAACTTCACATTTATAGTTCGTCGTCTATCACAAACTCCGAGTCGACGGTTACGGGTACTGAGTCAAGTTCTAGTACGCCCTCGTGGTCTTCTTTGACGGCAAACTCTGACAGTTATTCTCCTGGTTCCTCTTCTATAATATCCACTCATCCACCCTCGTCATCATCCTCTACACCCACTATGACAACCATCGTGTCCTCTACGTCTACCTCATCCCCTTTTGCTTCATCTTCCACCACTTCTACCATACCTCTTTCCTCTACTTCGTTATCTTCATCCTTACCGACCACGACAGCATCTACTTTTGCAGTAGTCTCGACTTCCGCTCCCACATTCACGTTCACGTCCTCGTCGTCATCGCATGTAACCCCAACATTTAACTATCCTTCGGTGTCCACTTCGGAAAGCGCGATCAATCCAACGTCCACCACGTTGATTACTTCCACTAGTACTACCGAGGTCGATGGATACGTCCCTACGCCAGTCTCCACATCAACGTTGATTTTGACGTCCGTCTTGTCGGGTCATGGCACCACCACCTGGACGACGACAACGAGCGGGGTGCTCAGCACTGCAGTAGTAGATACCACAGGGAACGGGTAGGCTCTTTGTCCTCGCGGCCTCGTTATGAGGTCATCGACTATAATTATACTAATGGAGATCCTCACAGGTTCTCTCGTTCTCCTGGTTCGATTATTGGTCTTACCCTCGGAGTCCTCGGAGCCATCGCCTTCGCTGCTCTGTGGCTGTTCTGTGCTCGCCGCCGGCAGCGCAAGCTATCTCGCGACGCGAATGCTATTCCTCCATGGGCGCCTGGCGGCCCGCTAGATGCTGAAGTAGATATGGAGGAACGTTACGCAGGAATTCTCGCAGCGTTAAACGCGGGAATGGGCGCAGGAAGGAACGCTAGAATTGAAGGAGACACGAGTGGAGAAGTGTCAGGAGAATTGGCAATTGCGCGCGCTTCGTCTCCTACTCTGCCCCTCTATTCGCATCCAGCAGAGGATAACGATGGTCCGTATGTCTTCCCGTTATCACCGCCTCCTTCTGCGTACGCTCCTCCCCCACCGCCGTCCGCATATGTTCCACTTGCCTTAAATAGTTCTCGGAGAAGAAGTTCGCCTGGTCCTGATCCATCTGCATGGTTCGGGGGGTATAGCGTCGCTCCTGCTCCTTCAGCTGCATCGCATCACTCTCATTCCACTTCGAACTTCCTCACCAGAACTGAAACGGGAACGAGGACGAGAACTGGGAGCGAGGAACCGCTGTTGACGAGAGCCGGAAGCGGATCTTCTTATCTTGATTATGGCAACAAAGTTCGGCTCGGGTCAGCGTTCGGCTCACCTGAGGGAAGTATGAACGGCCACACCCTTCCTCCTACGTCACCATCATTGGGCATGAGGAGTGCGACTACTTCTTCGTTTGACGCGTTGCATAGCGTTTCGTCTCAGGGTCAATTGCGGAGCACCTCTTCGCACGGGTATGAATTTGGGTTGGGCAGTACGTCATCGGGGACTGGGTCATATCAGGGACCTGCGTTGGGACTTGCGATGAGTGCAGCCCCGATTAGCTATAAAAGCAGGCGCGTTACGAAATGGAAGAAAGGGAAGCGAGAGAGTACTGGGAGCAGTACTGCTACATCTGCATCTGTGTGTGGGTTCGGGGAAGAGAAACCCGTCGGCGTACGAGCCTTCCTTGGTCGTCTCAGACGGGGCAACACCCCGAGCCCCAAGGCAGATTCATCAAGAGAACTGCCTAGGCACTCAGAGAACGAAGGAGAGGCTGAGAAGATGGCCTTCTCGACTGTTGTCTCCCCTGCTACCCCGCCTCCCGATTCTGTGCCAACATCCCCGAGATTCGTCCTTTCCAACCCCGACCCGCAGCATTCCTCGCCGTACGCTCACGTCCCCATTGGAGGACGTGAGGATGGCTTGCAGCCACCTGCCTGGCCATGGCTTACAGTGCAGGCGACTACGCTGCCTCCATTTGGGCTTCCCTCTCCTGCGCCCACTGACGAGTCGCGCGTTTCTACGGCTGATGGGCTTCTTGACCCCCGCCTGCGCGACCCCGTGGAAGGAAGGAGCAACGCAAGTTTACGGGATTTCGAGGATTACTCGCGGCCAATTGGAGGGGTGAGTACTACTTTATTCCAGCCTAATCCCCATCACTAACGATCTATCATATAGCTCATGACAAACCGGATGCACAGCACCACGACGTTTGGAACTATTGATACCCAGGATATTGACAATGGAACATATACGCCAAATCGAGAGGACGACCAGCAAGAGGATAATTGTGCGACAGCAACGCAGACACCCCGTGAAAGCTGGATCATAGATGGTGCTGCGGATGTCTTCCACGCGCGTTAGCACGTGCAATGTTCTCACGACTTGGATATGACTTTATGGCCACTTTCTTTTCTTTTATGAAACGACAAATGCTTTCGCTTTGCCAAGATACATACGGTACGGGTTCTGATTGATACCCCTGTCCGTTACTGATGCGAGCGTACCAACAGATCACGCAACGCACAATAAAACATGACTTAGAACATGATCTCACATTTGTACATGCTGCACATTCCTCACATATTATGCCCATACATACCATACGGGTCCGTCCCGGTGTACCATATAATGACGACAAGATAGACGACACTGGCATTGCTTTCTTTTGGCTTCCCAAGCTGATTTTCGTATTTGGTAAGTATGGGCCCTTTGATTCGAGCGATACGAAATATTGACGCAGTCGACCTCCTAGGGAAGATATCCTTAACCTTAACTTTGCACCTTATCACGATGAAACGTGTCCTGGATCTCGCAGGCGAAAAGACGACTTATTTTGACTTATATTGCTTTCGATATTTTCGTTAACTACCATCTTGCTCGTTGAGCTTCTTAAGCGCTTTCCTGTTTATTGTCTCCCCCTTTTTCTTTGCATTTCTCTTTTACGTAGCTTGACGTATCTGATAGAGTGATCATGAATTTGAATTTTTTGAATCGTAGCAAGGTCGACTGAGTGCTTGGCGGGGCAAACTACCTGGTGAGTATTGGTCACTTGGATTCTTTCCCGTACTACACCCACTGCTAGTCGACGTGTGTGCTCGCTCTTGGAAAGCTTTGAGCAATTCCGATCATGCCAGTTCCTGCGCCGGAGTTGGCCACGAGCTTAGCATGATATTAGCGCTCAGGATGAAGCGTGGTCCCAGCACAAATATCTGCGCACAGGCGTCACTTACCAAGGCCCTGCCACGGTGGTCAATGTGATTTTAAGCATTGCGGTCGTTTGCTTCAACACTCAAGACGCCACCACTGTTCTGACCACCGCATGATCAATCCACAGGCCCTCATGTGGCGATCCGTGCCATTGTCCCCCGACGCCACGACGGCGCTTAGGCTTGGGTGTTTGAAGACCACCACAAGATGGCGCGTCCACAGCTCGTTCCAAAGTACTTAAAGGGCTCGGTTCCACAAGCTAGCCATTAAGTTCGTTCGAGTGAACGCTCCCTGACAGAACAAAACCCCCCTCCCTGTCCTCAGACCTCCAATCATGATTACGGACGGTTGCCTTCGTATCAACAAATTGGTCACCATCCGACTGACACCATCATCAGGCGAATCGGATGTGAGTAAAGGAACCCTATCGCGTCGCCAGGGGATCCCCCGAAGGATCATACTCCTTCCTCCAAAACCGCGACACCTCAATAAAGGTCCGAAAGGTGCCCCCATTGCAATCCTTCCACACAGGCTCCCGCGACTCCGGGCTCGTCAACGACGATCTGACTCAATTGTCGCCCCTGTCGACAAGAAGTCTATACCTCAGAAACGTGGGGCTGACTCCGACATACCCGACACCCCCAAGGTTTTCATCAGAATCCGTCCCTTGAATCGAGGGGCTGAAGCTGACATTCCCGGCGCCGCCCGTGTTTCCATTAATATCCGTCCATTGAAGCGACGGGCCCTGGAGGGTAGAAACAATTTACAGAGTGCCTCCGACCACAGGCGCTTCGAGACTGTTCACTCGGACGACAGTTTTTACTCTGAGTGTCCGGCGGGCGTGGCTACGGTACCTCCGAAACTCCTGGATCAGTGTGGCCGGGAGACGTGTCCGGCCGACCCTGCTCGCACGGCCGCGGCGGCTCAGCTGGCATCCCCTCATACATCGAGGTTATCCAGTCCACTGTGACCTCCAATACGACCTGGATGTGCTCTACTCTCACGCGTTCGAGGTTACGGTTTGTATTTTATGCATTTTTCAACGGTTGGGAGCTGACTCGATATGTGATAGAAATGTTTGCTGTGAATAGAAGGTGTAAAGGGGGTGGTCTCCTGTACAATCCTGGTGAAGAAGGCATGGTTGGAAAGCTGAATATGTACAACACTAGAATTGTGTGGAGCAATATACGATACCTTTACGAACAAAGTCTGAGCGAGACGATTTGAATTAGAAGACGAGTTCTATACAAATGATGAAGAATGGTTAGATCCAGATGTTAGTCCCAGATTGGCGTACCGAGATCTTTGGAGACAGCATGCTGAGGCTGAAGCAAGAAACAGCAACATAGCTAAGACATACGGAACTTCAGCGGCAAAAGATGATCACGCTGCGAAGTAAAACACGTCAGATAATAGTGTCAAGCCACCTCTTGTCCGAACCCCAGTGCTGGGGATTACCGGTCACCAAACAGGATGATCTGAAACCAGAGTCATATTCAAGGGATTGGTGTCGGGAGTGACGAACTTGGTGAACGCATGTTGGTATTCGTGCTACAGTACCGGCATCACTTTTTCGACACCTCCGTACAACCTCCGTACCAGCTTTTTTTTTTAATATCAACGAGCTATCGGATACTTACCAAAAGTCAAATAGCTTAAAAATACATGTAATCTGATTTTTTGAAATTGAGCGCCCATGTTTCAATTTGTGCACCGATTTTTTTATTTATTTGCTTGTCAGTCTGTTCAGATTTGCCCTGGGCTTTCTCTACAGTTATACCTCGCCAAAAAAACCTCCGAACGAGCCAAAGCCAAAGCAACAGACAGGCCAGTTGATATCTGCATACACACGATCGAAGAGTATCTCCGAGGATGTTGTATTGGACAGGGGCATCAAAAATAATTGCATTAATGGAGGTTTAGACACCTCACAGAGCTCGTATATACCCTTCTAAACATTGTTTACACTTACCCGAGGGCCCTACAGGCCTCCACAGGCGCTAGAAGGCCCTTTTCGGAGGCATGTTTCAATTTTTGATGAGAAACTGAGTCTATTCCACTACTTTATATTGAAAACGATGGAATTTTGAAGTTGCGGTAGTAAATATATGTTGAGTATGTTTGACATGCCGAAAAAGGTATTCGAGCACTGTAGATATACCACCGTCCGGTGTTTTTACCGCTGATCGCTCTGCAATGCGCCCCTTGCGATGCCTCCTCCCAAGTCCTCGGGATTCGTCACCTCGTGCATGTTACCTCGGTTGTAGTGTCATCGTGGTAAAGCAAAGAAGTACAGCGCAACTGATTTACGCACAAATATTAAAAGTCAATACGCACACACTGAACCTATTGTGCTCCAATTTGTGCACTTGACGACATCGGCGTTGCATCAATTGCACAGCCAGCATCCAGATTAATAATCCGGGTAGTAAGGCCGAGTTGGTGAATGGTGACTGCGAATATCTTACGAAAAGGCACTTGAGATCAAGAGAGATGCAAGGTATCACATGGGCATGACAGCACGGGGCATCGCGGGAGACATGACAGGTTTGAATAATTAATGCGCGCATTGCAAGATTTCCATGGCGCCGTCGACTGAAAAATGTCAGTGCACGACCCATTGCCCATTGAACAGAAGCGTGAGTCACTCTCCAGCGTGCAGGGCCGCAGGCCGTTCTCTGAGAGCATGAACTACTTGTTATCCTTCTCCGTGCGCTTGGCCAACTGTGCTCCCCCACAGTGCGCCGCAGATGCTCAAGATGCTCCGTTTCCCTGTCAAAACCCTGAGGTTCGGAGAACACGGGCTCTCCTTCTGTACCATGATCTGCGATGATTAACTTTCTATGGGAGCCGATACCCGCGGTGCTCTTCTCGTCCTCAGATATGCTGGCATCCAAGTGTGCAGTATTTGCACGCTTAGCGCCGAGTCAGCTGTTCGCATGTGGGATCGTCGTAGCTGCGGTTGTGATACTCGTACTTTAAGTTGTTGCCAAAGAACCAGCAATCCGACAAGGCGTGTGCTCTCTATGAATGTGCTTATTTGACAAGATTGAACGATTAGTGCACTGCATCTGCGATGCAAAAAAAAGAAGATTGTAACACGCACTAAACTGAATCCATTATGTCATTGCAAGAAATAAATCCCGAACCCGCGTGCATATCAAACACCAACAGACTTGTTTGCCAGTTGCAAGACGTCGTGCACTTCGCGGGAGTAGGCTTCCACTGGCAGCAGTGATGCAACATGGTTAAATCGCTATTTCTCTCCGTCATCGTCGAATCTACTTCCGACCACCAAATCCACGCCGCGACTAAACTCCAAACAAATACCCGACAAGTGTTGAACGCTTTGAATTCACTCCCGTGCTATAGTTGACATACGTATGCGCTCCTGGAAAGAAATTGTGGCAATGCCAAATTCTGTGTCGGAATTGGCCACATGCCTGGCGTGATATCCTCGGACGTTTAGGATGAGGCGTGGTCCCAGCACAAACATCTGCACGACCGCAGCAATCTCACCAACACCACTATAAATCTGAGCTCCCACAGAATATGATTCCTATAGGGATGATGAGTGGTCAGATGCAGATATGTCAGTCACAGATCGACATACCAAGAAATTTGGAAACAGGTAGCCGAGATTGAGGCAAGAAACAATAGCAAAGCTAGCAAGTGCACAACTTCAGAGGAAAAAATAACCGAATTCAAACAACAAGCTCACGATAAAAAATAAAACACGTGAGTTTGCATCAACACTGCTCCGATGGTCCATCTGGTCCGAGGCCGTTGCAGTTCAAAGATGTATTTTACGGCATTCCAAACTGCAAAACACATTGCAATGACCTCCCATACAGTGTCAAGTATGAGGGCCACGATCACTGGCAGAAATCGGATGATTCCCCGCTCAAGGCACTGATAGGTGCCGGAGAGGATGAGCTCCTCTAGTATTCATCCCATGAGCCTGACGCGAATAAGTCTGTCATCCAGATAAAGCTTACCCCCTCCCATATGGCGGCTTTCTATTGCGCCAATCATTCCGGAGATAGCTGGGAGAGCCAGGAACATCACGAGATAGATGAGGACCTTTCTGGATCGCTGATACATTGCATATAACCGAGCGATCATGATGACTTGCACGATATTCAGTCAAATAAACATCATCGAGACTGCAGCTGAGTAGCTCACCGCCAAGCAAGATATTTATAACAAAAGTCGTGGACCAACGCGCGAAGGTCATAATAGTACCTGAAACACTCAGTTATCGGAAGACCCAACGCTTCAAAGGAACTCACAGCTGTTGCAGTTATTAGAATGAACGAGAAGGGAGAATTTCACTCACCCCTAGGAGTGCAGTTAGTTGGACAGAGATGGGAGGCATTGCAGAATACGCACTGCATCGGTCATCGAGACTTCCGGGAGACCTACCACATCTCAGAAGACATCAATGGAGATAAATGTGAGAAGACATACTACGCAGCATGTTCATGCTGACCGTGAGAGATGACGTATCAGCACACTGCCAACTTTTAACTTTAAGCTTTGCAGACATACGCAGAGTATAGTATTCCGACATAGCGCACCTAAAATATTTTTGAAGTTAGCACCACTTGCCAGATAACATAATTGAAATCACATACGATGACATACAGAACGGTCATGAAGGACCAATGGCTCCTCTGCCCGGAATAGCAAAATGTCGGACCCTGTTGTTCTTCTGATATGGGACTCTGCTCACCCAGACCAATTCAACCTGTAAAACAATTGTCAGTGAGATGGCTGCTCCAGACACGGCATCACCATACTTCTTCTCCTAATGTCAGTGCTGGAGGATACCATTGGGACATCAATAGTCTCTCGGTAAGTACTATCTTACTCACCCCAATCGTATACCAGCGCAGTAAAGGATGCAACTGCGACATAACAATCAAAGATAGAGTGAGACATGACCAAATCATCCAAATTGCTCTCCACGAACCTGCAAAATAGCTGAAAACACGAGCAAAATCGATTGCCGGCCACCAACTGGGATCATTTGAGACGAAAGTCATTCAAGAAAGTGGGCGGCGATTGTGGTGGATGCTGGTGGATGCTACATGTAACGATGGCGTTCATAAATATACCACCACCCAGAAGTTTGATCAGGTTGTACTTATCGCCAAAAAAGTAGGTATTATGCGTAGGCCTGATATCCCCGTGTGATCGCCCTGATTGATGAAAATTGAAATGTTTTGCCCGTGGGGAGCCCTGGACAATGAAAATAGTGGTGCCGTCTGAACAATTCTGAGCAGGCATCTTCTCTCCGCATCTCTTGTCGCAGTCGACATGAAACTAAACAGCATAAAAGTCACGAATGACAAATAGTAGAATAGGTGCAACTACAGTAAATAGATAATTTACACACCTCCCCCACTCGGGCCACCAATAAACTTGAAGGCCTGTTATTTCTTCAATGCACTACTCGCCTCCTCCTGATTCCTCGTGACCCATTGCCGCATGCACACCGCGTTGGATGCCTCATGTATTAATTTGCACAGGCTAGAGGACACACCTGATCCGCACTGGGTGTTTAATTATTGGGTAAATCCAGGCTGGATGATAGGTAGATCTTACGCAGCGAACGGCGTTCCATTGCAAGGGTTCCCGTGAAACATCTCGCCAACTGTTAGGCCCTAGTCAATGGTCAACATACTGCTACAATGATGCGTGAATTTAGCATCCCGGCAGGTGTGGGGACCTGCCTCTCGACATCCAACAGTCTAAGTTGTTTTAGGACTTATTTGCTAGCCTAAGCAGAATCCAGAAGTTTCTCCCGCGGCGGGCGAGACTGGTTACACACCTGCACACCCAGGGCGGGCAATCGGGAGAGATCTCGGACCTAAGTAAAAGGCGACATGATCGGCGTCTTTGAGAAAAGTTGGATGTATTATGCATAGGGTCGAGTCCGTGACTCCGATGACTTGTCCGAGTCTTCTTGATTAACTCCGTGGTTGTCGAATCAATCTTTGATCAACAAAGCAGTTTTAACTGTAACATAGTCTGAAGGGACTCCAGAGGAGCATAAAAACGCAACATAGTGCATCAGAGAGATGAACGGCGGCTGACTACTGTTGTAGAACGGGTGGTGAAGCTTAAGCTTTGAAGAGATGACTCATGGCCTAGATCAACCGGTTAGTGTTACAAATTACAATGAACGAGCGTCAATTCATATGTGACAAGTTCTTCATGGTATAAACATATTGTATTCGAGATGTATGTAGGCAAATATACCGACGCCAGAGCTCCGAAAGACTAACTTACGCCTAAGTAGAGTTATGTAGATATGACATGTCAATGCAACGAAGTCGACTAGTACTGGATGGTGGATGCGGTCAATGTAAACGAGTGTTCAACGGATCTGATGGGTGAGTAATACGCACTATAACGAAATTATGTGTCAAGGGAGATGGGGTGTCGCAGGGGCGTGGAGAGCATGGGGCATCGCAGGAAACAGAACAGTATAGGTAGAGGAAAGAGGTACCGCACATACAAGAAAAAAATAAACCGACATGGGAACAAAGCAACGAATTTTCGTTGTTGCCGGCAACTTACGAAGAACGGGTAGGACCCAATGCACGCCGAACAGGGTTGTCCCTCTCCGCAACAATCGCTCCAGCGCGCAAGCCATCCTTCGAGGCCAGGCGCTGCTTGCTGTCTTTCTCCCTGCGTTCGCGATCCTCCCGAGCGTGTTGCAGGAGCTCAAGACGCTCAGCTCCCTTGTCAGAAGGCTTGGAGGACACGGGCTCCCGCTCTGTGTCATCCGCCAAGACTATCTTCTTGGTGGAGCCGGTGCTTGCGGAGCTCTTCTCGCCCTCAGATGCGCTGGCATCTGAATGTACAATCTTTGCACGTTTGGCACCGAGGGAGCCGTTCGGAGCAACGTCCTGGCTGCGGTCGCGAGGCTTGCGCTTAAGCTTGTTGGCGAAGAGCCGGCGGGGGGCACATGCCTCAGCGACTTCAAAATCTGGATGATCGATCGGCAGTTTAGACGCTTCGAGAATTTCAGAGGGAAGACCATATTGAGGGTTGTGGAAGGTTGCTTTTTGACCTCGGCTGATGGGGCGGTCAGCAGGCAGATGATGAGAATTTAAAAGACGTACAAAACATAGGTGATTGTCGGCTTCTCCTCGAACACTGGTGCGGGAGTTGGCGTGCTTTCACGCTCACGGGCTTCTCCGACGGGTAATTCGTCATCACTGCTCTCCCAGCCGCTCGCTTTAGACGTGCTTGCTTCGCCCTCGCCAGCGAGGAAAGGGTTATCGGGGGAGTCTCGAGTAGGCCAAATTTTCTTGGCCTTGGAATTCAAAAGGAGTGGTGGCGCACGAAGGAAGAGTTTGCGGGGTGGGGTCACGGGTGGCTTTGGTAGAAGAAGTGCAGGCGGGGGTGACCGTGAACGCTGCACTGACGACGCGCGAGGTTGGACTTGGGGTGCTCTGCGGGAAGGGGGTGGCGATACGGGTACACGGACGCGGTACTTCAACAGTGCGGGTGAAGGAGACTTGTCTTCTTCCGTATCCTCCTCCGCTGCCTTTTTGTGCCCAACAGTGCCACTACGACGACCCGTCCAGAACGCGTTCTCGGTGTCTTCTTCCTCGTCATGCGCGGGAAGTACATCCTTAGTCCGTCGCTTTTTCTTCACCAAGCGCGCACCACTCTCCATGTCCCCGCCAGTTTCATCCTCACTTTTGCTGCGTGTTTTGACGGTGCGAGCAGCGTAGCCTCCACCAAAGTCGTCGTCGAGTTCTGACGCGCTGCCACTGTCCTCTGACGCGTGTCTAGAGGTCGTTGACACTGCTTTTGAACGAGATCGCTTGTGATGCGTTCTTGGAGGAGTAGGAAGAGATGCCAGAGATGCAGAACGCTTCAAGGGCCGTGAATGAACTTCTGTATCGTGAAGAGAGGGGATGCGGATGGGCGATGAGTCGAGTATCTGATAGCTCGACATAGTTCAAGGACAAAGTCAATCAAGTTGAAAAAGGTTTCGCTGAGAAGATTTATGCAAGAGATAAGATGGTGGTGGTCAGAAAGAAAGAAGTGATAATCTCGCGTGGACGTTTCAGACCAAGCTTTGGTCAACCTTGCAAACTTGTCACCAAAACAACGCCAGAAAACAATGCGTATAAACACATACAAACAAACGCTCTTGTCCCGAACGAATTTGGATTCGGGAATCGCCGAATCCGCTGTAGTGGACTTCAAGGGTATACTTCTGTTCGTGTATAGGAAGTTGAAGTACGCCCTCGAAAAATCCGCCTGGAAATGGAACGTGCTTTGTTATCTGCTCTAGTCTAAATTTTAATCAGCAGGAGAGACTTTCGCCTCGCTTGCCAAACCTCTTTTTTCAAGGTCACTGAACATCCTCGTCGATTCCTCGATGCGTGCGGCAATCTAGATTGGAAAGGGACGGTAGATCGATGATCTGATTCTCAATCCTAGGTTTGTCTAGTATAGCAGCCGTACGCAGTCACTAATGGTGAAAGACTTGTGTTATCCGTTCATGGCAAGTTGACAGTTTACTGATGGTCCGCCTGTGTGTATCTAACAGGTTACCTGAAGTACGATTCAACGTGCATCTCGACTGCTATCCTTGTCCTACTGCCATGATTCTCGGCGTCATTGAGACCAACGCCTACCCCAGTGGCACATGTAAGCAAAATCATGAACTGTTCCAGTGAGTCTGATGATAACGTGGTTGATCATCGTGATGCTGCAGATTCCTCATAACAGAGCGAACTTGCTATTGCCTGGAAGTCACGACAAGCGGAAGGCCACTCTCGTCAGTTGTAGTGCAAGATGACTATGACAGTACACTATATCGACGAATTCCATCAGGACCACTTGAGAACCACCCTATTTTTCTCCATTCGAGACAGCTGATTCACAGTCAATGTCTTTGTGTTGTTAAGTGGGTTTCTCCGACATAGAGTTTATACAACCGTCGACAGCATCAAGTTACCCAGATTATCATGCGGCCATGAGTTACCTTGCTGATCTACATGACGCTCTGCCTCCTTGTATACGGTGTCCATCATGATGTGCACCTGTTCAGGAGCATGCTGAATGTGGATGTCGACAGCGGCAATACGAGATAGCCAAGTTCATGCGAGGCAGTTAACAGCTGTCGTAGAGAACGCCCGGAATATTCATCTAAGGAGATTTCAAAAGATATCTGGATAGTACTTCCTGAGCTCGGTAATTAATAATCGTTGTCGACGAAACTAACAACCTTCATTTAGTGTGTAACTACTATACATTCAAGGATCATGGGAGCGAGTGCTAAACGCGATGTCGAGCTCTGCAGGTAACGCCAGCACAAACGCTGAAAACCCATTTTTCAAGCCGCCAGTATGGATAGACGGTTGTGGCAGACACCATTCGTAACGTTGCAACAATAATGCAACCAACGTGCGGAGTTCATAAAGCGCAAAATTGTATGCAGGGCACTGGCGCGCACCAGTTGAAAATGGATACCATGGTTCCCTTCCATTTTAAACCCCGGAGGCGTCCAATTCAAGGAAGTGCGCGGGTCGGAACACTTCTGGGTCACCCCAGATTGCCTTGTTATGGTGGATCCGAGGGTCACGTCAACAGGTGATATGCGCGGGGTGACGTAAACCCCAGGGGGGTTAATGCGGAGTGCTTCTCGTATGCATGCTGTGAGAAACGGAAGGAATTAAGGTTTCATGTTCTGGAACGACAGCCAAGTAGTACACCAACGAAGACATTGCACCTGATGTCGTGTCCTGTCCTAAAACGCGCTGTTAGTAGCTCAGAGGTATGGGGCTGGTCACATACATGCCGGCTAAGAATGGCGCTGCCATGTTATCGAGAAGTTGCTTTTGGGACAGGTCTGGGTGTTTCATCATCATGGTCATGAGGTCTTCACCTGATCCCGAGCGCTTGGCTTCGAGGAGCTTGTTGAACCCCTCGAAAAGACGGTCCATCCGTCTGCTCACCTTCTGCCTCGGGAATATCCACTCAAAGAAAGGCGCAACGAGGTACAGGGGTTCCGCCATGTCATGCATCATCTGATTATAATCTGTTACGAATTGTGATTCTGTATGAATAGAGTTGAAGCTGTGCCCAATAACCAACGATCCGATGGCGTCCAATGCGAAGCGCTGCGCAAGGTCAGACCAACGAACGGTAAAAATGTGACGACCGCCTGAAGACTCGATAACTTGAAATAAATTGCGGGCAAGGCAAGTAAAGATCGATGGGAAGTGCGAGGCTGGAGGCTTCTCTGACAATAGAAGATTGTCTTTTCCAGTTCTCTCCATTTGTGAGGATGACATTGGAAGGACCCATGAAGCGACATGACATCGATTCCTTTGTAGGATGCCGCTTCGGAAACTCGTAGACTCCTGAGCTCACACGTACGAAATGCTGGAAATATGCGAGTATCTGTGGGACGATGATAAATCTGAAGTTTCACCTTGAGATCGAGGATGTGAACCGTCCACTTGCCCATCGCCCATACGACTACAACGCCCTCGCTATGCTGATTTGCAAAGGGCATTATGAGACGCTTGATGCGGACGTCGTCTGACTCGCGGGATGCATAACTCCGAAGCAAGGAAACAAGCGGGATAAGGTAGATGGCGCAAGTTGGGTGGGAAAAAAACGACGTAATGTCGACGCGGTGACCAAAATTGCACCTGCGCAACATAGTGTAGTATGCCACAGATCGAGGAGAGTAAGGGTCATCGCGGAAGTGGCGTTGGTATGAAGAAACGACTTCGTTTTTATCCCAGAAGGTCATCCGAAATTTAGTACCCGGAAGATAGATTTGGGGTCCTATCTAAGTCAGATAAGCAGCGCAAGTTGCTTGGGAGTCGGGTGACGAGGGCCCACAATCCTGCTTTGGAACCATGGGTGCTTCCTTCCGAGGCAGAAAGCATATGATGCAATTGAAATCAACTAGTTTAGAATAGGCGGATGGAAAGAAACGTATCGGGAGGACGTAACTGACATCGGAGGAGGGTTATTCTAATGCCACGAGGGGATGGATTAAAATTAGTGGCATGAGCGCGGCACCTTCGAACAGCCTCCAACGTGCACCGTGCGAGATATCGATGTTCTTTCCCCCCCTTCGAGTAGTTGCTTCGTCAGGCCGAGCACAGGAGCGGAATGAAGGCATAGCTTGATGGCTCTGACGATACACACGCTGAGAAATTGTGAACCGAAGCGGAAAGGACGAGGAACCATACTTATCTGCCTGCTTATCGACCGGAACCAAATAATAATGATTATGATCTTGGCGTTCGTCAGTCCGGAAGGTCAAATTTCAGTTTGACGCTCCGTATTCGAAGGCTTCGAAGTTAAATAAGATCAGTGATCTTAGGCTAGGTATCGTACGGGATTACAGGACACGAGCTCCTAACTGTCTACTTCGTAAGTGGTCAGAGGTCATATGGCGTCGCTTCTGATAAAGCAAGTCAAATTCCCCGTTATTGAAATGTAATGACTGGCCAATCATGCAGTACTTACCAAGCCGCTGGAAACTCAGCCTCTTGTCGTCCAGGTTATCGGGGAAATGAGCGACTTAAGATAGACAAGCCGGCATCAAACCTTCTGAACATTGAACAACGTTGGCCACTCAGCCAATGTCAAGCAAGGGGGCCCTAACCGTTCTCAGTGCCGTGGCTTCGACAAAGTGGCTGGTTTATAAGCGTGTAAGCCGGTAGACGCTTTGTCGCGGTGATCCTAACAACGAAAGTCACAGCGTCTCATTAGCTTTCACTGCTGAGCGAGAAAAGGGCTGAATTTTCTCTCATTGACAACAGTCTGTGAGCAAGTTCAACGGGTTGTGTGCAAGTTGTGCGCGATCCGCCAATGAGAACGTGGCGGGTCCCGATAAGTTCCCACGGCTGCAATGTAGTTAGTGACGCATATAAGGAGTTAGAAAGATCAAGAAAGATTGGCAACATACTTTCCAAGTTTCCTCCACCACCACCATCATTATGAGCGGAAAACTGGCTTCAGGTATGCTCGCCATTTATTTATCTTATCCCGCATCGCCCTCACTCGTGATCCTGTAATCAGAGTACAATGCCTGGAAGAAGCTCCAACAGACGTATGATGCCGAACACGCCAGGCTTATCTTGAAGGACCTGTTCGCTCAGGATCCCAACCGTTTCTCAAAATTCTCCAAGGAGTATGTCGACTCAACCGACAAGAACACGACATTCTTGCTCGATTACTCTAAACACCTCATTACCCAGCCCATCTTAGATACGCTCCTATCCCTTGCTCGCGAGGCAGAGCTTGAGAACTACCGTGACAAAATGTTTGCTGGCGACCATATTAACACATCAGAAGATCGCGCCGTCCTTCATGTTGCACTCCGCAACTTTGACGATTTCAAGATTCAGGAGGGTGGTGTTGATGAGGTCGCTGGCGTGCTTGCGCACATGAAGGAGTTTTCTGAAGCAATCCGGAGTGGCTCGTGGAAGGGCTACACTGGCAAGACGATCAACACCATCGTCAACATTGGTATTGGTGGCTCTGATCTCGGACCAGTCATGGTCACCGAGGCACTCAAGCCTTACGCGAAACGCGACCTGACCGCCCTCTTCGTCTCTAACATCGATGGAACACACATCGCTGAGACTCTCAGAGCGTGCGACCCTGAGCGCACCCTCTTCATTATCGCCTCCAAAACTTTCACCACCCAAGAGACAATTACCAATGCCGAGTCCGCTCGCGATTGGTTCTTGGCTGCAGCCAAGGACAAAGCCCACGTTGCAAAGCACTTCGTAGCCCTTAGCACGAACACGACGGCTGTAACTGCCTTTGGCATTGACAAGGCAAACATGTTCGCCTTCTGGGACTGGGTTGGTGGACGCTACAGCTTGTGGAGCGCCATTGGCTTGCCAATTTCCATTTATATTGGTTATGACAACTTCGAGCAGCTCTTGAAGGGTGCTCACGGTATGGACAAGCATTTCAAGGAGACTCCCCTCGAGAAAAACCTGCCTGTGCTCATGGCTGTTATCGGCATCTGGTATAACGATTTCTATGGTGCCCAGACACATGCACTCCTGCCGTACGACCAGTACCTCCACAAATTTGCGGATTACTTCCAGCAAGGAGACATGGAGTCTAATGGAAAGTTCGTCACCAAGGGCGGTCAGCGTGTTAACTACCAGACAGGGGTAGGTGCAATGGACCCATTTGCACTGCAGAAACTAACGTGAACTCGCACACAGCCTATCATCTGGGGTGCTGCAGGCACTAACGGACAACATTCATTCTATCAGCTTGTGCACCAGGGCACGAAACTGATCCCCGCAGATTTCATCGCCCCTACCACGAGTCACAACCCGATCGCGAATTCCAAGCATCACCGTATTTTGCTCTCCAACTTTTTCGCCCAGCCTGAGGCACTTGCCTTCGGTAAGACGGAAGCGGAGGTGCGCAAGGAACTTGGCAGTGGTGCAAGCGAGGCACTCGTAAAGAGTAAGGTGTTTGAAGGAAACCGGCCTAGCAACAGCATTTTGTTCCCGATTATGACCCCAAGAACCCTCGGGGCGCTCATCGCGCTGTACGAGCACAAGATCTTCACCCAGGGTGTCATTTGGGGTATTAATTCTTTCGGTAGGAGTGTGCGATGTTGGCGATTTCTCGTTCACTGACGGTTTTTGTAGATCAAATGGGTGTCGAGCTCGGAAAAGTACTTGCAAAGAATATCTTGTCGCAGCTGAACCAGCCGTCCGATGTGACTGGCCACGACAGTTCGGTGCGTTTTTTTTTACAATGCTTCGCTTTTTAGCTGAGACGAAAGCGATCTGCAGACCACTGGTCTTATTCACTACTACCAAAAGCACCGAAAAGAATGAATCGTGGTGTCAAGGCTGTAATATTGCACGTAGATTGGAAAAGAGTACCGGAATATTCTTGCCGTTTCTTGATAACAGTAGTTGAATAGGAATGTAATTTTAGCAGAATCTCAAACTGCTTCACCAGGCGCCAAATGACTTCGACAGACAACTGCAGCATCTGAATGGTGATGTCACGGCCCTGGTATGCGTTTCGCTCGCTATACGCTCGTAGTACAGATGTCAGTTGCAGAACTGAAACGCACGATGTCGAGCCCGGGGACTGCGTGATGCCGTCCGTTGTGAAAAACCAATGGTCGCGAACGTGGAGAAGTATTACAGCAGTGCAAAATGCCTGCTATGCTAGTGGACACCAATGCTCATTTCAATTTCTCGATAGAAGCGAGTGATCTTTAAAAGATCAGGGCATTGGCTTTTGAAGCTTGAGTCCATGGTCTTCCGATGCTGCGCTTGTACAACTAGAATGTCATGGTGAGTTTGCGAGGGCACTCTGTGCAATAATTATTCGGGTAGCCCCATAGTAGACTCATCCATTCGAAGCGCTAAAATGAAAAACCCCTCTGAAAGGGTGTCGTTCCGCTTTCCAGGGCGCTGGCGTTGAGGACGACACTATATATGATGTCTATGACACGGCGGGAGACGATGACCGAATGACGAGCTATGCATGCACAGTCGATGCTAGCATAGTCGGGTGAATGATCAAGGCATTTGCGACAGTATCGTAGTTGGTATAACGGGTGACAACCGAAATGGATTAAAACTGCCATTTGACGGTTAGCGCCATCCATGCTGCAATACATGCCCAAACTCGTGTTCCCGTGGCACCAAACGAGAGCAGCAGACTATCGGGTGAGCCCAAGTCAACTGTTCCCCAATACCTAGGCCTAGGTCTCACAAAGTTTAAATGGTGTAGCGTAGCGCGACATATGGCTGTGGCGTCTGCTGAGCTCTGCTCCAGCGCAATTTGAAATACCTGGTGGGTCCAACTGCCTTATTACGCTGCTGACTAAGCTACGCAAACCATGATTGGATGCGGACCAACCATGAGTGACTAGTGAGATCTAGAGAAGCGACCTCTCACAACATCTCCTATTGTGCACAGCTGGAGTTTAAGGCACTAAAATATACGCGTCTTCATTATAGGCCACTGCCATACGATAATAATTCAATCTTACAATCATCCCTCCGTTTCCCATATCCAGCGGCATTCGGAGACGGCGACTGACCCCTCAGCGTCAAACGTTTCACAGATCGCTCAGTTATTTACGTGCCCATGCGGAGGTCTGGTGCGACAACGGTAAGTTCTACTTCTAAAACATCAACACCTTCCTCAAACATATCCACGTCAGTTCTATAGAGCAAACAGAGCGCCTAAAAGGTGTGCACATAATATATTTCTCTCTCCCCGTTTATCGTCATTTCACCCCCACTCTTTTCGATATTGCAGAATCACGTTGATCAACTCAGCAACAGACTACTAGTAACTCACGTGAAGTGTCATCAACCATACTGCACCGACGTGAAAGCAGAAACACGACTCACTGCCACACTAGCCCATTACACATGTAAAGAGGAACTACCACGGCCGTGAGTCATCTGGTTAAATCCAAGACGCAAACTACCCATACTCACGCATGAATGGTAGTTAGGGCAGGTTCTGCACTGTGAATTGTGCTTGCAAAAGAAAGAACATTCCTCACTGTCAGCGTCGCTGGCAGATATTGATGCTATCAAAGCAGCAGCAACGGTGAGGACAACTGAGAAACGCATTGTTTGTGAGGTGGTATGGGATCAGATAAATCTGAAGGGGACAGTAGGAAGACGCCTTGCTTTTATGTGCTGAATATTGTTCTTCCGAGTCACGGCGATGCAGGAACTTGGAAGAATCTATCCACATTCGAACAGATGATATCTGCAATGCCAGCATCGATTTCCCTCTAAGAATTCGCGTTTTCACGGCCTCGGCGGCTGAATGAGTGAACTACGAGTCAAAGATAAGTAAACGCAGCGAATCCAGACAGCTAGATTACTGATAAACAATCCATCTCACGCGTCATCGTTTCGTGGGCGATCAATAATTTTTCAGCTCACAGCGACAATCAAATCTGCCTCGGCATCACCAGCACGCAACTTCGTCCGACATTGAAAACGAATCACCCACACGACTGTGTCGCGCGCTGTCCAAACGAACTTTGGAGCTGGGATGGAGCTGGAGCTGCTCAACCCTCAGGCTGCTTCGACTGCAGTTAGTACCTGGCACCTTTCGCATAAGTAGTTAACAACCACCAAGGGCAGTCTCATGTCTCTCACGTGTCATGAGTCAAGTGCGGTAATAATATATAAAATCTGAAGGTCGCACAAAAACTAGGCCATAGCCGGTCTGCAAGCTCATCAAAGTTATCATCAGTTCTCGACTTGTTGGCACCATCCCCGAATGGCACATTATCGCAATAGTACGTGGCATTTATGTATTGCTGGCTACTCCGTGAACAATTTCAATTGGCTGAGTGCAAATTTCACGCTTTTTGCAAGGATATAGCCCTAAAACTATGTACATTATAAGCTCAGGCACACAACTCCATCGTTTCGAGCACAACCATTTTCTGACTTCCATCGCACTTTCACCCAAACGCAATGTACTGGCGTGCGTAGGCTATGGGGGTCTTGCACCGTTATGGGATACAGAGTCCCGTCAACCACTCGGTCAGCCATTTGGCCAGGAGGAATTCCTTCATCAAGTATCATTTTCTCTCGATGGGAGATACTGGCTTGTGGTAGACAAGACAATAATGAAATCACTCTCCGGATGGTCAAAGACGTAGTCCCTAAGCTCATAATTCACCCATCGATTCTGTCCCGCTTTCACCGACAAACAATGTACTGCCAGTGGCGCGCATTGGCAATGAAAGTATGGCACAACTATCGGACATAGAGTTCCGTCAGCTACCCTGTCAGTCATTTGGTCAGAAGGATCTCGAGTTTGTGAATGAAATAACTACCACCCAATGCATCAGCCCTGTCCCGGTAACTGCCCAAAATACCGCTTCAGCAACTAACAGCATGGAATCCACCAATATGATCGACGAGGTCCATCACCAGATTGGACTATCAGCTGACCTGAACCTTGTGAATAAAAGGCTCGCAGATACCACAAAAGGCATCCAAGGCATAAGAAACGTCCCAGGAATGGCCCAAAACATCGCTTCAGCAATCGACGACCTAAGGCTACAATCCGTTCCCAATACGATCGACGAGCTCCCTGAAATTCGTGGACCCTTGACAGCGTTCAACTCCATTACTAACGGGCTTGCAGATGTATGGGCGTTTATCTCTATTTTGTACGTGACTGACTTTCGTGCGTAGGTCCATCTTCCATATATTCACCCTTGCAAGTTCATTAGAATTTTTTTGTGGCGACAGATGATTCTCGATCAAGCAGACCGCGATGATGCTGTGTTCCGTCTGCTCATGAAGATCTTGGACGTCTATGCTTTCATAATGGAAAAGGAGGTATTAAGCAAGATACGATCCATACTACTAGAGATATGTTTACGACCAGTACTTAGTGCGGCATTGATAACCTCGAGAAGGGATTCATCCCAGAACGGAATTTATAAGTACAGGTGTCAATTGGGGGATCGAATACACACTTCGAACTGAGTCAGTGTACAGTACTTCTTAGTTCCCTCGTGTTCAAACGAGCTCTTGTAATATCCCATCATAGCCCCGGTCAGTTCTCCAGAGAAGAAAATGGACATCAATGTTGCCTTTGGCCCGGCAGGCAGACTCAGAGGCGTCGAGAAACATCGACTTGCTTGATCTTGAGAGCACTTGGATAGTGCACTAGTACTGTACTACATCATCAAATTTACACGTAAGGCACTTAGCATATTACCCCTGTCCTCTAAGCCAGGCCCTGGACAAAACCATGACGGAGCACATTGAACAAAAAGCTTCTGCACTGCTGAGTTGAATCCTTCCACCCCGCGACAGATGTCATCCCTAACGTCCATTCGCTTTTCCACGAAGCCCCCGTTGAACACCTCGACGTTGTTTACTGGTGCGACGGGATTCTTGGTCAGGATATTCTCATCGCCAGATCGGCATCCCTGCAAGAAATACAGTACTGCAATCCTTTGAGAGAGCCAACCCACGAATTCCGCATTGTCTACTTCACCATCTTCTTAGACGGCATAACTTCAAAATGGGTATAATAATGGACCGCTGTCCAATCATGAAGGAGAGTCAAGATATGACTGGTACTTCAAGGACGAAAGTTTGGGATTTTTGCCTATGCACAACCCCGTCCCCGCTCCACATTCGAGTCAACTCGGACCACATCCAAGCTTGTACGTCAGGAATATGCAAGAAATCAGCCATGAACCGCGTCATGGTGCCCAGTTTTGGATCGTGGAGTGGACTCAAGCCCCTACCAGAAAAACAGCATGGATCCTACAAAGTCATCAACACCCTCAATGATACGCACTGTATGACAACACCACAATTTGCTACAATCATCGAGGCCGTTCTCCCCGGTCAAGGCTGAAACAGGTGGAAAAGAGACTCCTGGAAAAGATGTATGTGAGCAAGGTACACGGTTAGGTAGGATACCATCGCACAATCTCCGTGATGATCAGGAGGCAGTGAGGGATAAGTACCACAAGTCATGTGTTCCTTTTAGTATCCTGAAGTTTCAACCAATCACTGCTGATATCACGCAGGGAATTACGCAGCTTAATAAATTCATATCAACATTCACAGTGCAGAAGTTGATGAGTGGCCATGAGGGAAGTATATGCTCCAGACATCACTGATCGATGATCCTCCAACGGTTTTTCTTTTTTGTGTATGTAAGTAGTCTGCACTCCACACAAACAAAATATGTACTCGGTTCGCTTATATAAGCATCAAACATTTATCGAAACGCGGTACTTAAGCGAGTAAGTACTTACTAGCTGCAGAGTCCTAGTCATTCTTCAAAGCACAGGCTATAGCTAGGCAGGTATAACCAAATATTCACCGGTGGTTGACGCATACTAAGAGTAATCTTAGGCTGGGCCGAACTCATAGCCCAGAGCCGAACTTCCTGATGGCTGAATCGTTACCTCCAGAACTATGGTCGCACATCTTTGATCTAGCCGCAGACGAGGATACAATTTTCTATCCCGGACTTCCAACATCAATGACCCAATCCGCTTGGGCACGTTCTCTCCTTACGGATTGGCAACTGAGAACGCCTCGTGATACAATTGACATAGTCCAGCGCAGAAGCTACGCTACAAAGAAGGTGGGCCACATCACATTGCACACCAGTCGTTTCTCATCCTACGTCAGTCAATCATATCAACATGCAAATCATGGCGTCGTCTCGGCCTCGAATTCCTCGTCCGTAATTTATTCTTCAACGACCCCTCAAAACTCCGCTCTCTTACTGCCCTCCTCGCTTCTAATCCTTCGCTGGGGTGGTGGACGCGTCGTTTGCATATAACTCACTTCCTATACCAGCGTGGTCCCTCGCTCGACGTTTTCGAAGCAGCACTCACATCCGTACTTGCCCAAACTCCCAACCTCGAGATATTCATTGTCGACTGGCCTCTATCAAGCGCATTCGGTCCCATCGCAGACACACTGGGCATGCATTGCAAGAACTTGCGCACCGCTCACTGGCACGTGCCCGCCGAACTCCTCTCAAAAGTCATATGGGCACTAGACGCCCTGCCGCTTCTAGTTTGTCTCGTTGTCGAATTTGATGCACCACTTAAAGATCCCGACACGCTCACCCTAGGAAGCGCGCAAGATGTCAAACTCTACCTTCCGAATCTTCAGCAGCTCATCCTGCGTGGGCACTCTGCCGAATTCATGGAGCAAGCCAGTGGCTGGAGTCTCCCTCTTCTACGCAGCTTCTCCTTTGACTTTGGCAGCAAACGTGAAGACGTCCCCGACATCCTATCCTTCCTCTGTACCCATGGTACTAGCCTGCTCTTTCTTGACCTCAACTGTATCCCAGCACTCGATATTCGCACAGTACTCGACCTATGTCCTCTCCTCACCGCTTTCTCTTTTAATCTCGACTGGAAAATCGCACCCATCACCCAGAACGACGATAATGCAGGAGACGGACCCATCGTTCTCACCAATCGTCCGCACGAGCACATCGCGCACATCGGGCTCCACGGGTTGCTCTTTGCGTTCGGCGTGGGCATTGCTAGTGCTTATGCCACCCCTGACCCGCTTCGCGCCCTCCTCGTGCAGCGTACCAATGATAGGAATTTTGCGGCGCTCACGAAAGCGAGCTTCCCTAAACTTGAGCGGGTGCGCGTGTTGAACACGACGGTGCTCACGGACCTCGAGCGCACGAATGGGCCTCAAGGGAGTGGGATGGAGCGCTGGGAGAGGTGGGCAGGGATGTGCGAAGGCATGGGTATCCGTCTGGAGGACTGTACAGGCGCACTATTGGGCACGTTGCCTCACGAGTATGAGGAAGAAGAAGACGAGGAAGACGATGACGAATATTATTATACGGATGATGATGAGCCAGCGAGACCTGGTGGAGTGGGTTTGTCAGAACTGAGGGCACTGCTGGAAGAATGTAGGAAGATGAGCGAAGAACGCGAGGACCCACCGTTTGCATTGCCGTATTGATATATCAACGTTTTGTTCTTGCTTTGCTAACATACTATCTATCTGTCACCAATCCTAGATCTCGTGTAGTAGCGGATACAGGTGATACCACCATCATGACTTATTCCAATTAGTTCCAGCGATTCACTATTATCTTGGTTTTGAGAAAATGCTATCTAGAAGTGTGACCGTCGTGTCCCTTCCCCTCTGGCGTCCTTGTCTTAAAAGCCCCTCTACGGACTACCTCCTCCACAATCCTTCTCGCTCGACCTACAAAAATACTCTGGTCTCCTGGAAGCCTTTCGCGACCTACGCACCAAATCAAAACCGTGATCCGTGTTGCTTCGAGAATGAAAGACAATGCAACCCACCCACAATTGCCCAGTTCCGCGTGCTGGGTATCCGGAGCGTATCGCATTCAATCTTCCAGCCCAACCACCGACTCAAACGCGCAAGCCATATGCGATAGGCTGAGTATTGAGACTTGTGGGTACCCTCAGCGCCCAGACCGAGGGTGGAAATGAAGACAACTTCGTCCTCAGCCTCCCCCGACGGCGAAGTGGCAGCGTTAAGCGATTCATCATCAGAGAAATTAAGCGTTGACACCGTAGATGAGCGAGTAAACCTTTCATCGAACATCCATGCACAGCAGGGTATGGAGAGGTACCCACTCGCACCTGTGAGTGTCGCCAGTACAGGAAGCCATGGTGTAAGTTCGTCCGCGTGATTCCCAATGAGGAAGACCCCGGGCGCCAAGAAGGAATCCTTGCTATCTGTGTCGGATTCTGGAGAAAGAAGTTGTGTGGGATCGAGTGCGTGCACCTTTAGGGCAGCCTGGGACGGCTCGGGGTAATGTGCCCAGGACATCCGTGCGCGGAGATCGATACCGTATCCTGAGTAGCCCTCAGCCGAAAGAATATGTGTTAGCAAGCCGTTGCCGCAGCTGCATGAAGCATGATAAGGCCTGAATGAACGGATGATAATACAGGAAAACTCGCCCTAGGTCAAGGAAGCCTTTAGCCGGACGGGGCCAGGATTTCCATGGTGAATCATGCAGCTCCGTAACGGCTGCTAGATCAGCCGAATCGGCGAACATGTCTTTCCAGAAAAGCATAAGATATGTTGCGATGCCGATGTCCTAGGCCAATTAGCTGATATCAATTCTATATCTAAGGCATCCGCACCTCGAATACATGCTTCAGGGGATCGGTGCTCTCCCTCCACGTATTCACTAGCCCCTTATGACGCTCGCGCATCTTGAGATATACGTCTTGATACACTTCGCGGGGTACAAGGACGTCGTGCTGGACGCGCTTCTGATAGTGTGTGAGTGCACCCCAAAGGTAACGGTGGAGTGTGTCAAGGAGTGCAAGCGCCGTGCGGTAGAGGCGACTATTGGGGTCGGTAAGCGTGCCTGGGTGCGGAACGGTTTCGACGCGCAGTGTCGGTTGTGCAGAGGCTGCATCTGAGGTTGAGGTGACGTTGGAAGGGATGTACCGGAATGCAAGATGGGACACCGTAGGATGATAGTAGGGTAAGCTCTCTCCCTCGGGTACAATTGGTGTAAGGACCAACGTAGACGGAAGGCCCGCAAATTCGCCGGTTTCAAAGGCGTAAAGCGTACAGTGCTGCTCTAGTCCGGAGTCTCGACCTGGCCTGCGCGGCAGTAGTTTTCGATGGACATTGCGCACGGGGCAGTATCCTTCCAGTCGTGGAACAGATGATGGGATGGTGGTGTCAGAGTCCGAGATGGTCTCTGAGCGCAAGATCAACGTCGAATTGTACTCCGGATGATGAATCAATTGCGAAACAGCTGTCTCAAACTGTTGGAGTAAATCATATCAGTAAAACGGGAAGCACATAGGCAGACTGCACACACCAGTTCAAGTGGGACATCTGCAGGACAACTAATCAACGACTGGAATCTGAAGTGGGAAGGATTGGAATCTGAATTGTGCAGCGGAGGTACATCGTGTGCCCGAACATCACACGGCGAAGGATTAAATCTCGGTCGCTGAACTGAGGGTGTTGTAGACATTAAGCGCAATTTAACAACCACTATAGTACTAAACAATGATCGTTGCACTGATCATAACGATAATATCTGGATCTCGAGCTACTTGACGGCAAAATCTCCCAACTCCGAGTCAGAATCTTCCACTTGACTCAAGGGTCAAATGCATGACTACTCATAGTTACATAAGAGAAAACTCAGAGCTTCTCTAATTTCCTTTAAATCAGACCCAATAAGTAGGAAGTTATATCGCCTGTACTACCAATGATCAAATTATTGAACAGATCTCACAGGTCCGTTAACGCGAGTTAATTCAAGTCAAATGCAAAGCATATGGTAGTGGGTATTGATAGCTGGAGCTAATAAGAAACGCTATGTAACTATGACGCAAGTACCACAGGCCCAAAGTCCACTGAAGACTTAAAGGCGGAGGCTCATGGGGCTGCAGCCAACATTGACAACACCATTCTGAAATTGTACTGTAAGACAGATTAAAGGCGGAACAGAGCACCTGTAACTCACCATTTTGTTGTTGCTGCAGCACATGGGTTGCTGATTGCATGTCGCGCCCCCGCCAGTGCCGACCGCGGTAATAGGACTGCAGTCAAGGCCAACAGCGCCAACGACTTGACCGACTAGCGGGGCAAGGCCAAGAATCTGCGAGGCCGCGTTGTAGCTGGTCGCCTGCAAAAAAAATGAGCATCAGTGAACAATCAATGTAAGCCCGTTACTCACGCTGGTAGAACCCGAACAGCACTGGATGTTACCAGTGTTACACTGGCCATCACGGAGAGCGAGGGGAGTGGCGACGGCGAGGGCCGCAAGGGAAGCAACAGCGAAGAAACGAGCGAACATTGTGTTAGCTGGAAAGACTGGGGAAATTTATTGAAAGAGTGTGGGGGAGCTTGCAAGTCGAGAGCTGGCTGAGGAAAATATGGATTCTGAAGAATCAAATGCATTGCAGCCTACCTTTTATACCATGAGGGCACGCTACTACCCGGCTGCTCCGCTTTGTCTATGTTTTTTTGCAGCATGGAATAACCGATGAACTAATACTTAGCCGCCAGTCTGACCCTTGGTCTAGAGCATGTAGCCGTAAAGGCGATTGAATTTATGTTACGTGAATCTCACCTTGGCAGCAACGCGACGCGTTTCAATCACGTGATTTTGCTTCGATGTTGGACTTCGCCAATGGCCATGCCCGTCGGCGACAGGACTCATCGCGAAGTTGCTGATCCGGACACTGTGGTCGACTCGATGTGCCTCTTGGACTTGGCTGGTTTATGCTCACTGGAGTCAGAAGTAAGTATGTGCCGTCTATTAAGTGGTTTTTTGATGCCTATTCTGACATCTGTGCAATCTAGTACTTGAAAGGGACAGCTGCCGACACCGCTTGGATGCGGTGGCATGTACGCGGCTTGTATGCTTGCCATGATAAGTACGGGGAGAGCACCACGACAGAGCTCAGAAGCCTCCATGGTGGTCGATTCTTGAGTGCTCATCGAGATTTTTCTGGGGCTCCTCCGGGTTTCCCCTTGAAAGTGGTGACAGAATGATGTGGCTCGTGAGCGAACGTGCACATAACTTTGCCAATCACGTCTTGATCCAAGTCTGGTCGCGCACACTGTATGAGCAATCTTCCGGTCTCGGTGAGTAGTGCTATCCAATATACTAAGAAAGGCACTGGACGGGTTCACACTCGTCACCAGAGGAGGTGCATATGGACAAGCGCTTGGCGGAGGTGTGGGCGTTGCAAGCAAGAAGTTCATGCTCACTGGGAAGAGTGGAAGTAGACGAAAGAAGGACAAACCGAAGGAGAAGGACGCGTTTGATGGCTTCCAGAAGGCTGAAAAACAACGGAAAGGTAAGTGTGAAATCATTTGTCACGAGGATATCGGTTCATGTCGCTGTAGTTATGCTCGATCTGAGGAGAAACTTCGAGGCAGACAAGGCACGCGTAGAAAAACTGAAGGAATCGCGGCGGTTCAAGCCCTATTAACATATTGACTTTGCTATACATTCAGTGAAGTGGGTCTAGTATATTGCGAATGTGATCTAATGCGAGGCCGCCGAGTTTCTCGTTCTAACCGGCGAGTCCTTACTACGTTTCGGGGGTGTATACCGTCAGACGGTGCATGCTTTCAGATACCGAAGAAGATGTTCCGAAGACTTTTTTTCGACAGGCCGCCGACACTTCCGCAATAAACTCAGAGTGATTCCTCGTTTCTGGATCCCAATCGCAGGAGGCGGCGAGATATTCAATTATGCCAAATTCATATAGATATGGTGGTGGATCGCTTTGTGCCCGATTTGATGCACTGTGCATTTCGTTCTGCGAGTTCCCAGGTCTAGCAACGATCATTTAAACGTTTATACGTTGATGGGATTGTGTGTGTATGTATTAGCAATCTCCTAACCAGTGTTCTTGTGCTCAGCGAATGGCCATACGCTTGTGTGTGTGCGTGGAATCGTGTCCATGCTGACTGTCTCTTGTAGATCCCCTATTTGGCGTGGCTCACGCTTGTTCGAGCCTCCCCCCGCTCGTTTATCTAATTTCATGGAGCGCGAACGCCATGAGATCTGAAATGATTGAGATGGAGCCTATTTATGACGCCGGGGCGCTGCTGTGAGTACTGGTGACTTAGAGGAGCAGTCGGATGCCGTGACCGCGGAGGAAATTTAAGTGCTGGATGCTTGCATGAAGGCGCCATACCGTACACGGTGGCCGCGGTCCTAAATTTTAGCCCCGAGTGATGTATGTCGGAAAGGCGGGGGAAAATATATGCATCCTTACGCCGAGCGGGATATATTTTACCTACCGCTTTCTGGTCGATGAGGGAAGGATCTCCAGTTAGACAGTATGCACAGAATTCAGTGAGCAAATCTCACACCAATTTGATCCCATTTCTATGTAGCTGCTATGAAGTTTCTGCAAGTGTTGTACATGTACATATTGATTTTGAATAGCCCTAGAATTGATACTTGGAAACAACTTCCCAGAAGCCCTTGCCTTGGAGGCTAGCGATTTCGAGCTCAAGTGCTGAAGGCTGGCGTGCGTCATCAGCACCAGTGAAGGTGCCAGCACCCCAAGGAGAACCTGAGTAAAAGCAAAAATAAGCAACCCGCAGGCACGGACGCGAGAGAGTAAACATACCACCACGAACTTCGCTCACGTTGGAGAGTTGTGCAAATGTGTTTTTGTAACCCAGGGGAACGAAGATCATTCCATGGTGGGTGAGAGTGGAGAGGCAGCTAATGACGGTAGCTTCCTGTCCTCCACCTTGGCTGCCTGTAGAAACAAAGAAACCGGCCAATTTGCCGGCCAATTCACCCCTGACCCATAATCCACCAGTAGCGTCCCAGAAAGTCTAGTGTGAGAGTAAGGCACATAATTAGACATTCTCAACGGATTAGAGAACACACTTTCCACTGGGCAGGGTAATTGCTGTAACGGGTAGGGATACCAAAGATAAAGGCGTCAAACTTGATGAGTTCGCTTGACGCGATGATGGGATAACTGGGTTTGGGGGAAGCATGCATCTTTACGAGGACTTCGTCTGACAATGTTTCAGGGATCCTAATTAGTCCAGTAAGTAAGGCGATTATTCAAATGGCTACGATTGAATACATACTGGTAAATGGTGGTGGAGCCCCCAGCAGCCTCGACACCACTCTTGACGGACTCAGCCACTGATAAGAGATAATCAGGAGAACGCCGTTTCTCGATGGTTGTACTCACTCTTTGCGATATGGCCGTGCATCGAGTAAATGATGATGGCGACTTTAGGAGATTCAGCCATGGCTACTAGCAGTTGAGTCACCAGGAGGATATGAGAGAAAGGTACTATAGGACCTCTGGCTGGTATTTGTATTGTGTTGTCCTGCCTTACCATCGATGGCAAAATGAAATTGATATGTCACTGACTCAGCTTGACAGCGTTACCTATTGCAAAAAGCACAAAAGCAGGTTGCTTCGACACACTTACAACCAAAGGTGGATGGCTGAACTCACGCACAGCGTTCATGTCCGTCATTCAAAGGCAACGTGAAGCGAGATAACGCTCGATATCACGGAACCAGGCGACGCTGACTGGTACAGTGTGCCTCATGAGAAATAGAACAGTATGCGGGGCGTCTGTATCAAGCAAATATGCTCAGTCGTCGCGCAAAGGATCGCAAACGTCTAGGGATATATTCACCTGCATCAAACAGATACGCTAGCGTAAGTATAAAGCAAGGTGAATATACAATATTAATAGTTTACCTCAGTCGTCTCAGGCAACAGTACTAAGAACGACTCGTATAAATAAGCAGGGATGATCTTGTGCGGGCGGAAAAGGTAAGCACGAGGACCGCAGTTCTGAGATAGCAGGAAACAAAAGATTCAGTAGGTACAATGACCGTCAAAATATAAGAGCAAACAAAAGAGAATATTATGTTGACTGACAGATGAAGAGAGCACACACTTGTCATTGTGTTTCGGGCCTCAGTGCTGGCTTGCCCAATTCCAACACTCCCCCTCAAGCCACGCGGAGTCCGAGTTCGACAGCGAAGTGTTTCACCTTTGGTGAGGGGAGCGCTTTGATGAGTGTGTCGATGATCATATCGGCAGTGGGGCAATAAACGAGACACAATTTCCCATTGTCGATAATCCAACGAATAAAATGGAAACGAATATCGATATGTTTGGTATGAGCGCGATACTGGTGGTCTTTGGCGAGTGCAAATGGCGGATTGATTGTCAGAGAATAAGGTGGTAGGTAATAAGACTGCACAGCCACAGAGCCTCTTTGGTTCACCTGGATAGCCCATTTGGGAAGCCTTATTAGGCTTAGCAATAGTGTGCCTCGTCCACTATATTTAGGCTTGAAAACAGTAATATCCCAACACCAGCATTAAATCACGCCCTAAACATTCTGATACCTTATATCTACTGTACTGTAGCCTATAGCTAGGCCGGCAATGGATCCTGCCTTATCCTGCCCCACGCTTGATTCCGGCAGTTCCTGCAAATCGCCCGTCTTGCTCATAGCAGTTGATCTGGCGGGTTCTCATGCCTCTTTCCTCCTACCCCCTGCACTGCTGCACACTGCATGCTGCCGCTGCTTCTACAGCTCAGCGGCCATCACCCAGGCCACCACTGCCCTCTACAACATCTGTCCCATCTGCCTCACCCAAAATCCCAGCGCCTCAGTGGTCTGTGCGCCCCCAGCACGCTGCTTGCAGCATCCTGCCTCCCACCTCATTCTACAATGCCTGCCCCCAGCACCAAGTGGTCTGTGCATCTCTAGAATGCTGCCTGCACCAACCTGCCTCCCACCTTGTCATCCTTGCCCTCTACAACGCCTGCCCAAGTGGTCTGTGCGCCCACTGACACTCTGCTCTCAGCTACTCGCCTACGCCCACAGAGTCATCGCTTGGAGATCGCACTATTCAGATATCAAGCGTAAGCCACCGACACCTGGTCTGTGCGCCCCCCTTGCACCAACTTACCTCTCACTTTATCATCCTTGCAGTTCCCAACCATCCCACTGGCTCCTAATGTCTCGCGCAGGGGGTCATTCTAAGTATAATGGCCTCTCAAAGTCTATCATCTCGCATGACTTTCGAGGGCGACATCGCCAGACTCATATCCTGAAAGCTAGCTGTCAGCTTCAATGCAAGGAGGCAGCGGATGCAGGCCATCAGGCTCAAGTCCAAGGTATATCTTCACATTCTTATCGCTTGCTTCTAACTAATGCCGATCTCTCTCAGAGATGTTGACCGAGGAATGCCAGTTGGTGGAGAACATGATGACTGACTATGGAATGGATGTTGAAGCAATACCATACACTGCACCTTCAGGAGAGGAGGGGATGGAACTGAGTCATGCCAGTGGGGAGCATGAGGCATTTGAGGGACTCGCTGGTCAAATAGCGGATCTTAGTGGCCAGTATGTATTTTTTTCTGTCTGTCTCTATTGTTGCTCATGCCATCCACCAGTCGCTATATTGATCCCCGCACTCGGGAGGACCACACAGAAAGCCAAACGAATCACTGGCACCTTCAAATAGACCTGCTCGTGGATGCTTACCTGGACTACCGTTTCCATGATTCTGGAGACAGCTTACCAACCTTTGACGACATGTCTGCGGAGCCACTTCTAGACGATTCTTCTGGTGTTTCACTAACTAACATAGAACTAATTGACCTTTTCAGTACGTTCTACGAAAGTTCCAATTCTCTGTGCGCTAATTCATTTCCAGAGTGAAGCCACTCTTCACCGCAATCGCATCCCTTCCACAGATACCCCAATGAGACCTTAATCTACCATGGGTACATTGGGTGCGCACCACTATATCCCACAGCTGCCATATTGCTGCGCACTCTTGCCACATACCGTCAAATCCATCGATCATGTCCCTGATTCAGCATTCAAGCCCAAGTGAAAAGTCTCTGTTTCCTGCATGATGTACGTGTATATTACATTATTTGACTGATCTAAAAATGCTGTCATAGACACCCTATCAACCGTACCTCAATGTACAATTTTCGGCTGCTTATGACATTTATCTAGAAATACTTCACCGTGTGAAACAATGTCATCGTGCAGCACTCAATCATGACACACCAAACTGGCGCATGCTCAATTCATGCCCAGCTTGCTTCTATAAATTAGAGGACGAGCCAGCGCTTGAATTCGATTGGCTGGTATCAATCGATGGCAACAATAGTTTGAAGCACTGGAACTCCATGATTTACGGCTCAAACCCACGCATTGATTCTTGCAAGGCACAGTCTGATTATTGGCTTGATACCTGCGATGTAGACAGGTTCAAGGATGAAGTCAAAACAAGAGAAGTAAGACGAGTCTCTCTTCATGCAACAATAGTCTGACTATACTATGCAGAGGGACATGAATGACGATAACTGGGAGGACGAAACAATCGCAGCCGAAGGCACTACCCCAGCATTCAATTGCATCAACTGATGGCGCAATGCTGGTCCGGAAACTCGAAAAAAAATGTTTTCAATGTTTGACGAATCCGGGATATTTATTGCAGCATGCCGTCATAGATTTGTCGTTCTAGCCTGCAACATGATACGGAGCGGAGAATTGTTAAGTTCTTTCTTAGCTCATCTTAACTAGCGCTGATTTACAATAGAGCAAAATACCCGCTAGCCATAATTGAGATGCTCCTCACCGTATATGGGAAAAACAGCGGCTGTGCTTATGATATTGGATGCGCATTTTCAAAGACACTGACCAACAGTTCTTTGGGTATGCAAGCGCACAAGTTAGACTTTCATCTCATGGTGGGCGTGTTTCACAGACACACCCATAATCATAAGTGCCAGCTAGACTGGCATCCCATGTACATTCCAGGAACCGGACACACCGAGGGTGAAGGGTGTGAACATGTGTTCTCATCATCAAACGAGCTTGCTCGTAGTACGAGACATGCAAGTCCATTCCACCGGCGTCAGACTATCGAAGAACATTTCTCATTCTGGGACACTGACAAGTACGCCACCCTCAGTGAGTAAATATTGTTACTTACTAAGTCTTCCGATTTCATCACTGATTCTGTCAGGCAATTTCATTTGGAACCATTATCGCGAGGCGCTAAACTCTATTCAGACGCTCACTGCTGAGCTAGCTGTCATCAAAGCTGAGCTATGTCTTACTGACGAAGATCTTTCTCAATTTCTCAAAGATGAACGTGACTACCTTGATGGATTGAAGCTGCCACCAGTCAGAGACCAACTCTGCATACACTATGTTGAAGTTCTCAACAAGCTCGCTCAACGACAGTGAGTAAAATTTGCATACTGTAATCATGGCCCTGATATTTAACTAATTTAGTGCTGATTGGGATGTGGCTCGGGAAGTCGGCAATAACACCCTGACTAGCATTCCCACAGGTAGTTTAGAGGAGATAAACAATGCCCTTGTCCAAGCCCGGATTCGTGTGGACTCTTCCTATGCGAAGTTACAGCACGGTGAAGGGCTTGTCGCACATATCGAGACTCAATTGGCTGTGGACCAGCGGTGGGAGATTGGTGGGCCAGAGTACCGACATTTTAAGGAGGAGGCATCCCTGGGTAAGTACTGCACTGCCCTAGACAAGCTCGAGCGTCTCGTGGTGATGAGGCTATTTGAACTCTCCAAACTTTCATTATCGAGCACAGGTAAGTTTATCTATGCCGAAATACCGACACTAATGAGTTGTTTTTTTCTAGGGTACAAGCTACGTCAGCAGCTCGGCAAGGCTCTACAATGTCGTTCGGATGCCATCCGTAACGCTATTAATCGCTACAACACACAGGCCGCAGCCCTAAATCCACCGCATTCCAAGATCTCTTGGAAAGACATCGCTGATTATGGTTTTGTAGCCGAATTTGATCTTCTGCGATATTCTCGCAATGATATTCGAAGCAGTGCTTGGTCAAAGCCAAGACATCGAGAAGCAACCACTAAATTCTTCAAACTTTGTCGAGCGCGCAAAGAAATCACTAGACTCAACATTGAAGTCTGCTGCTTGCGCACCGCCATTCACGATGAAGAACATCATATGCTTACCATCATACAAAAACTTCTGGTTTCGGATCTGCACCTAGGCTGTGAGCTGCAACGCCAACACCGTTTGTGTGCAGCTATCAATGCAGTGCATTGCTACCGCTTGAATCACATTGAGAGTCTCACAGGTTTTTCTGGAGTCAGGGGTGTTGGTGTCCACGCTGAGCGTGCTGCTAATGTTGCTGACTGTGATATGTTTGATTGGCAAACTCGGATGTCATGCTAATGCTTTCACAGGTCAACCGAACGATCTTGCGGATATTTCGCCTACCATTGATACTGAGGATACTGACATTGATGCCATTGATCGCGAAGAACAAGACACGTTGATGGAGGACATGGCTGATTTTTTACAGTCAATCATTGACTAACTTGGGCACCACCTACATACCACACCTTGTACCTTTAGTTATTGCTTTGTAATTCATAACTTTGCCATAAATGCTTGCAACGGATTGCGTGCAGCTATCAATGTAGTGCATTGTTACCGCTTGAATCACATTGAGAGTCTCGCAGGTTTTTCTGGAGTCAAGGGTGTTTTCACAGGTCAACCGAACAATCTTGCGGATATCTCGCCAACCATTGATACTGAGGATACTGACATTGATGCCATTGATTGCGAAGAACAAGACATGTTGACAGAGGACATGGCTGATTTTTTACAGTCAATCATTGACTAACTTGGGCACCACCTACATACCGCAACTTGTACCTTTAGTTATTGCTTTGTAATTCATAACTTTGCCATAAATGCTTGCAACGGATGTGTGATACTCGGTAGAGATTCTATATAGGACTGAGATGTAGATGTAGTGTACAGCAGTAAACTATAGCACCATAATGTAGCATACAACTGTAGATTATCTGTAGAGCGCTGGGCATTGTATTCGACAATAGTACATGCAACTAGTAATCTATGTGTACATAATAGTGGCCATCATCACTACCACGCACTTGTTGAGCTAGCAAACATGACTCCACTGTACCTGGTGTGAATCCACCATCTCCACCACCCTTCAAGGCATTGCATCTTCGCCATTGCACTCCATGGTGTCTTCACCATCTCCAGATAGCACACGGATTGGCCGCTTCAACATGACAGGTCTCACTGCGCTGTATCATACTTCTACATTTGCTGCAGGTTTCAGCAACAATGAGCGTCAAGCAGCCGCACGGGCTTTGCTCAGGCATGATGCTCATATTGATGGCTCCCATTATCAGACTAGGATGTTGGGGGGTCTTCACCCATCATACATCAGCTTCAATCAGTCGAGCAATGTGAACAAGGCAGAAGAGTGGTCCCTTACACATAGCAAGCTGCTCGATGCAGCCACCCAGGATGTATTTGATGCAGTCAGTCATTTTCTTGATTCTTTTTCTTAAAGCTCACAACATTTTTTCAGCTCACCATGCAAGACCGTCTTGATGGTGGGATATCCGTTCTCATTCGATGTGCTGGCAGTGAAACTCCACCAAATCTCTCCCCCAAACAAGTTCTTATTGATGTCTATATCACGCCGCGCGAGTTGCAGGAAACGCAGCAGTGAATTGGCGGAGATATTGCTGTCTTAGTACAGGCATTCGCACAAGAGTTTGCAGTACCTCATTTGCAGCGTTTTGCAACCCGCTGTGCCATTGAAAAGGTGAAACCCAGTAGGCACTGTAAGTAAATAAAGATTTATTATATTCTTCGCATTGCTAACACAAGGTGAAGTCCCTGCAACTCATATCAGCGCTACTGGACCACAACACATCCCTCCACCTATGGTTGCCACAGGAACTCGAATCCAATGCTCTGCGCAAGCCCCAGACACCTTTTCCACCAATCTACAGTCCCCTCTCCATCATTCGGACTCTGCTGCCATTCGTCATGGTGTGGAATTGGCTGCCGGATCTGCAAACTGAACTACACCATTGACGCCATGCTCGGAGATGCACCAATGCCGACCGGCTGATGTATTCACCAAGGCTGTCCCACTTGTTGCAGCACCAACTCAGGGACAACTCGGTTGCAATCTGTCAATGGTTGGGTCACCACTTATTAGTATTGGGCCATATACAGATGCTGCACTCGATCGGTTGAAGTTAGGTGACGAGAATTTGCTGAAACTCCGAATGTTAGTAGGAACAGTTTGCAGCAGCTGGTGGGAGGCGGTGTTCAGGTCCCCGAAGTGGGACTTGACTTATGAACAAGCTTCCATCTTGTCTAATGCCCTCCTCATGGACCTACAGGTAGGTATAAGGGACATCAACCCTGAGGTTGCCAGATTGAAGGTTAGTCATATTCCATTCTTCACATTTTTATATTAATTTCCATCTGTAGCATCAGTCATCAGTGCTTACCACCATCCTCAAGATCCTCGGCATTTTAGTTTTTTCATGTGCGCTTTACCTTTTCGGTTTGTTTTTACTGTAGTTCTCAGATGTTTCTGCCCTGCTTAGTACGGAATGATGTGATATTTGAGCCTAACCGCAATGTTGACGGACTTAAAAAATACCTTCTCTTGGTGCATTAAATAGCTGGGCAAATAATTGCAGGTTGTTGACCAGTCTTGGCTGCTTCCTTGTAGCCAATGGTTGCCCAGTCATTCTTCACCAACAAGTGCAGTTCAAATGTCAGACACATCCAGCCACCTGCCTGTCAACGTTCAAACATTCTGCTCAGTAAAGAAGCCCGTGCCACTCTCAGGCTTGAGCGACGCACCAAATCCCTTGGGTTCAGGGACGCGTTAGATGACACATGGAAGCAGCTCAATGATGCTACCAAAATAATTGCGACTTCACACCATAAAAGTATCCGCCAAGTTCAAAATGATTTATACATAGGTCATGGACTTCTCCGCTCAAGGCGCTCTAAGGCCAATTTATGGAACACGTTCTGCTGGAAGAAAAACCAAGATAAAGAGAACGGTAAGTTTTTATTATTATCATGTTGTCGTGTTCTGTCGTGCTCATGTGTTTTTTGTTTTTTTTTCAGATAGCCATGGTAAAGCGGTGCTACAAACACTTGTCTGTGAACACAAGCCTGAATACTTCACACTCTCAAATGAAGAACAAGTTGAACTTCTCACCGAGTTCACTGCATGGAAAGAGATGAAGAAGACAGGTGTTCGTGCCATAACCAAGTTGAAAATCAATGATATCACGCAAACCTTGAAGGCAGTGGAAAACGAGGTATGTTCTCTGTTGAGTTTGTCTCTGACATCTCCTCACATCTTCTAGCTCAAGAGCCTCCATTGTCATACAGGCGCGGAATCTATTCTATACACTACACATGGATCTACAGATGTTCCCCTCCGAGGTGTCACATTTGCCACTCAAGGTGTTGACAACTTCATGGACACTGTCATGGGTATTGATAATCAAGATTTAGTCAGCAAAATGGAAGGCTTCGCCATCCAGGGGATGAAAGGTTAGTGTATTTGTTCTTATTGCTATATTGTTCTAATTATATTCAGGTTCTGTGAAAAACCACCAGAAGCGTGTCTCTGATAAACGTGCAGAAATCCACGACATCATCAACTGAAAGCTTCGCAAGTATTTTTTTTGCCTTTACAACAATGAATTTATTTATTTTATTAATAGAAGAGTGTACTGGTGAGCCTGGCGCAAAGATGCAATGGGCACATTACTTCCGCAACGTCGTTCAGCAGTACCAGGTTGTTGTGGAAGGATGGCCTGATGAAATTCCATTTACAAATCTTAGTCAAGTATCAAGTGCACTCCCAGACCTCCAGATGCTTTGCAATAGGTGGGATCATGGTACGACATGCTGGAGGTCCTTGAGCGACGAAGAATTTGAGAAACTCCATCTGGAGCATGAAGAGAAGCTCGAGAGTGGCGCGATAATTGATCGTTGCTGCCGCACTCGATCTGACAAAGGGATGAAGCACCACAGTGCAGCAACATCTGCAACAGCTCATCACCGTTGCAAACAGTACAAGAGTGCAGAGACTATTGGGGACAGCGATGGCAGTGATACAGAGCCAGCTGTTCGCGATACAGAGCCAGCCATTTGCGATACAGAGCCAGCTGTTCGTGATACAGAGCCAGCTGTTCATGGTGATGACTTCATCATTCCCTTTGACTGTGATGCAATGTTAGCTGACTTAGATCGAATATTTGGCCCCGCACCTGCTATGAGTTTAATGTTGGAGTGAGGGAGGTCCCCTTATACTTACCTAGTGTTAAGTCGTAGCCTGTTCATACTTTCATATAGTCAATTAGCTTGCATCACTGGTTAATATCAGAACGGAGGTAGTGTGTCGCGAACAACAATGATATATTGTTGTGTACACAGTTCTCAAGTACTACAAATAATGTCCTTGTGCTACAGAGTACTTGAAAGTCCTTTCAATGATATCCGGACCCCCAATAGTGTCCCTTGCTCAAAGTCTCTGTCCCTCTCGCTCGAAGCCTGTCCCTCCCCCGAAGTCTCTAAGAGAGATTGGTGTTAGTTAGAAGCATTCTTGATGTTCTGCATGCTCAAGAAAGTGGCGAACTGACAGGATGGTGGTGGTGGCGGCGGCGGCTTAAAAATTGATATCTGAATAGTCCAATCCCCAAGTGATGACTCTGTGGGCGTTGAGAGAGATCAGCATTAGTTAGAAGCAAGCGATAAGAATGTGAAGATATACCTTGGACTTGAGCCTGATGGCCTGCATCCGCTGCCTCCTTGCATTGAAGCTGACAGCTAGCTTTCAGGATATGAGTCTGGCGATGTCGCCCTCGAAAGTCATGCGAGATGATAGACTTTGAGAGGCCATTATACTTAGAATGACCCCCTGCGCGAGACATTAGGAGCCAGTGGGATGGTTGGGAACTGCAAGGATGATAAAGTGAGAGGTAAGTTGGTGCAAGGGGGGCGCACAGACCAGGTGTCGGTGGCTTACGCTTGATATCTGAATAGTGCGATCTCCAAGCGATGACTCTGTGGGCGTAGGCGAGTAGCTGAGAGCAGAGTGTCAGTGGGCGCACAGACCACTTGGGCAGGCGTTGTAGAGGGCAAGGATGACAAGGTGGGAGGCAGGTTGGTGCAGGCAGCATTCTAGAGATGCACAGACCACTTGGTGCTGGGGGCAGGCATTGTAGAATGAGGTGGGAGGCAGGATGCTGCAAGCAGCGTGCTGGGGGCGCACAGACCACTGAGGCGCTGGGATTTTGGGTGAGGCAGATGGGACAGATGTTGTAGAGGGCAGTGGTGGCCTGGGTGATGGCCGCTGAGCTGTAGAAGCAGCGGCAGCATGCAGTGTGCAGCAGTGCAGGGGGTAGGAGGAAAGAGGCGTGAGAACCCGCCAGATCAACTGCTATGAGCAAGACGGGCGATTTGCAGGAACTGCCGGAATCAAGCGTGGGGCAGGATAAGGCAGGATCCACGCCGGCCTAGCTATAGGCTACAGTACAGTAGATATAAGGTATCAGAATGTTTAGGGCGTGATTTAATGCTGGTGTTGGGATATTACTGTTTTCAAGCCTAAATATAGTGGACGAGGCACACTATTGCTAAGCCTAATAAGGCTTCCCAAATGGGCTATCCAGGTGCTTTTGTTGCGTGGGGTGTGACTGAGGTGGTGACATGCACCTGGGTTGCCCTATGAATAAGCCTAATTATACTTGGTAGTGACATGTCTCGCCAACTTTAATTAGGCTTGGATTAGTTAAATCTCAACACCAGCATTAAATAGTGCCCCAGCTCTCCGAAATACCTTCAAGAAATACTGTATCTACCTGTTAGGTACCATGCCGGGCTCAAGAAGCAGAGGGGTTGGGGCTTGGCTTCAGCTCTTGCACTGCACCCTTAGCCAAGTACGTGCCCTGAATTTGGAGCAGGTCTGATGTTGTCCGATGATAGGATGGGTGGTCTGCTTTGGTCCACTTTGAGGGTCGGGAGGTAAGTGCTACTAGTGGTGGGCCAACTAGGAGTGGAGTGGAGAAGGTGGAGGATAGTGCGGAGGGTGGATAGGAGCAAGGGGGATTATTGATAGAGGTGGAGAGGTAAGGGGGAAGACTTAGAGCATGGCTCTAAGTCGGAGCAGGAAGTTGGAGGTGACAACAAGTTGAAACTTGTGTCTGGAGGAGGCAAGGTCCTACTGAGAATTCTCACAAGTAGAAACTGCAAGAAGACAAGTAATATTAAGACTGGGGAAAATATCTAAGTACAGGATATGTTATATACTTCTAAGTGTGAGGCAGTGATTAGGAGACTTATGTTGTAAAGCTATGTACCAAGGATATAGTTTGTAAGTACTTACACAGGCGAAGACATAAGTTGGAGCGGATATCAATATGTACGCATCGGATCAGTGATTGAGTGGTAAGAGGAGTTACCGGTGATCTGGAAGTAAGGGTCTATGTATCGAAGGGGAAAGTATATATCTAAAAGGGGAAAGAGGTTCCAGTTGAATGGAGATGTTCTAGAAGGTGACCGGTTGGGCAGTTGAGCGGAAGCATAGGAGCGGATGCGGATGGTGATTGGACAGAGCGGAGGACGGATGTAGTGGAGGTGGTCGGAAAGCGGAGCGGATATTGATATTGGAGCGGTCAGATCAAGTATGTGACACTACCTCACTATGGTGGAGACGGGTGCATGGGCCTGTTTGGCAAGCATCCCACCTGGCGGGAATTGGGTTATCTGTTCATTTTAATCTAATTCAAACCAAGGGGCTTCCCATGCTTCCTATCCTCCTCCTCATCGTGCTCATCGTCCCCACCATTCCCCTCCTCCTCCTCCTCCTCCTCCTCCTCCTCCTCCTCCTCCTCCTCATCTTCCCTCTTGCTACCTCCCTCTTTCTGCTTCCTTCTTGCTGCTTCCCTCTTGCTGCCTCCCTTGTGCGCTTGCCTTGCCTCATATCCTCATCCTCTATCTTGTTGTGCCCATCGTCCCAACCCAGCCAATGCCTCACAGCTTGGGTGTCAGGAGGGTCAAAGAGCTCTCCAAATCTGTCATATCCCATGACTTCAGAGGGCACCATCACTGTTCCAAAGTCCTGATGGCCAGTCAACAACCACTGATACTCAAGGTATATTGTTTTCATTCTTTTATTATAGTTTTGCCTATGGCTAATAGCTTACTGCTGCACCAGAGATGGACCACACCCTGCACCCTCGCCTGAATCATTGATACTTGCAGTCCTTGATAGCTGCTAGAGTCTCCCTTCGCTTGTTCAGGCTTTGTAATAGTGAGTTGTGTGTTTGATATTTCTCGCTCACATTGTTGATCATCTTGCCTATGTCTTCATATCTTATATTCTACTTGTGCCATGCTGTTGTAGATGGGCGGTGACTTAATTTAGGACAATCATTTTATCAAACCAAGTCTATCACAAGCAATACTATGAAATGAATTATGGTGTGGGAGTGATGAAATCAGTGCCTCCAAGAGCATGATCACTGAAAAGCTTGTCAAGGCGTGCTAAGGTGGCATCACAGTCAAAAGGAAGCATGTTGAACATGTCTGGGGTGTTGGAAAAATAGGCGCCAGGCACGGGTGCATTGAAAAAGCCAGCACTAGACTGGGTGTCAAAAAAGTCAGTGCCAAACTGACCATTTGATACTGGGGTGTTGACATGTGGTACTAGGGTGCTGCTTGAAGGGGACACAATGGTTGAGTCTGGTACTGTTGGCTCATTGCCCAAAGCAGTGGATGGGTCTGGTGTCTGCTCACAACTCTGGGTATCTTCATCATCACTGGACTCAATGGTCTCTGCGCTGCTGTACTTCTTTCAACATCTGGGGTCGATGTTGTTGGCTGTCATAGGTCATACTCGCTTCTTACCCTTGTTGGACTGCATCCTTCAGCGAGACTCGATAACTTGACCACTGTTAATTTTTTCATCACACTTGCAATGGAGTTGTGCAAGTTCCTCATCATCCAAGATATTCCAGGCCATAGCTCCCATCTTCCAAGAGTCTAAAAGAAATTTAAGGTCCGGAAGGGCACTGGACACATTGCTGAGGTTTGTAAATGGAATATGCTCTGGCCATCCTTTGATGGCAACCTGATAGGGATTGACCACATTGCAAAAGTAGTCTGCCCACTGCATCTTGGCTTTGCTTTCGCCGGTCACCTCCCCTATTAATAAAGTAAAATAAAATGTGTGCTGTCGAAAGAAAGGAAAAGACTTACTCAATTTCTGCATGATAATTGCTTGAATTTCTCCATGAAGATTCAAGACACGTTTTTGGTGATTGTTTGCAGTGCCTAGTACAAATAGAATTTAACTTGAGAAGGTGATAACAATGGAAAACCGAACCTTGTATCCCTTGGATAGCAAACTGTTCCATTTTGCTGATGAAGTCCTGAGTGTCAATGCCCATGATGGAGTCCATGAAGTGATTAACACCTGGTGTCATGAAGACAATTGTGTGGAGAGGCAGATCAGTGGTACCACATGTCATGTACGACATAATCTCAGCGCCGGTGCGAGAGTTCAAACTATTGAGCTAGTAACGAGACACGCTTAGCAACATTGTATTGCAATTCGAGTGTGTGTACCTCATTTTCAACCACCTTGAGGGTTTGAGTTATGTCATTAATCTTGGACCTCATTGAGATGCATTCCCCAGAGATCTTGGTCTCCTTCTGGTTGGTGAATTCCTGGAGCAACTCTTCTTGTTCTTCCTGTGTGAGAGTGCGGTATTCATCCTTATGGTCATGGACCAGTGACTGGAGCGCTTCCTTTCCGTGGCCATTGCCTGTTAATTTGGTGCGAGGTCATGAAAAGGTTTAAGATAAAAATAGGTGAACTTACAGTTTTCTTTCTTGGCCTCCTGAGATTTCTTCCAGCAAAACGTGTTCCAGATGTTAAGCTTTGAACACTTTGAACAGAGTAATCCCCAGCCCATGTACAAATTGTGCTGTACACAATGGAAGGTCTTGTGATGGGTGGTAGCCACGGTCACCATAACATTGTCTATTTGGCTCCATGCAGCATTAAGCGTGTCCTTGAATTGACACGACTTCTCAGCTCGCTGAAACTTGAGAGCTGTGCAAGCTTCTTTCCTGAGGGTGACCTTAGGATGACTATGAGGTTGTGCTTGAGTGTGCCTCGCATGCTTTGCAGCGTAGAATGACTGGGAGACCATTGTCCACAGAGGGACAGCAAAAATCAGCGAAGGGCTTTTGTAGTTGAATTCAAATATTTTAAACACACTGAGAATGCATTTATTTTTTCTAACCCACGGCGGAGAAACAGGACATATGGCTAATAACTAAAACTCAAAGGGGAAAAGCGATCTACAGCAAAAATAATAAGACACTAAAAAAGTATATGCCACATAAGAAAATTAGTATACCAATAAGCTTCAGGATGACTGTGAGGACGGATAATGGCTGCTATGGTCATTCAATTAAGTTAGTACAATAACAGCAGCTAACATAAGTATCACGGACCTTTACAACCTCAGGGCTGGGTGGCATGCCATGAAGGTCAACTAACAGTGCCCAAGACAGAATGGAAGCATTTTCATATGAGAGATCCCATTTCAGAGACCTGGGAACTGCCTCCCATCGGCTGCTATGGACTGTTTGAACTAGAACACAAAGCTTGGGTAAGATTTTGTCCCCCAACTTAATCTGATCCAGAGCAGCATCAGTATTCAGTCCAATACTAATGAGCGGCGGTCCATTGACAAACAATGCAGTGTCCTGCTCTGATTTCAGTACCAAAAAATTTGGACCTTCGCCAATCACCTTGCCAGGTGTAAAAATGTCCGCATGCCTACATCAGGTGAACTTGTGAATGGGGTGTGCTTGGCGGTGTTGAAATTTTCTTGCCAAGACCTGCACCCATCTCTGCACCGCCACAGATAGCTGCGGATGGAGCATTGTGTGTCGTGGTTATTTGCAACTCATTTGTGAAGATATCAGCAGGTTGGGCAGAACATTTTATATGTGCGCCAGTAGCAACCACTGGGCTGGGTAGATACAGTGGGCCCTTGACACAAATATGAACTGCAGCAACTGTTGAATTAAGTTAGCCATGTGAACAGCGAAAAAAAATGATCTACTACTTACAGTGTTGTGGTGGTTGGATATTTTTGACGACACAGCATTGGTTGAACTGCTCAAGATGTGGCATTATGAACTCTTGGGCAAATACCTGCACCCAGACAGCAAGGTCTCCACCAATTCACTCAGGAGTTTCTTGTAGTTTGTGAGGTGTGATGTAGAGGTCAATGGGGAGATTTTCAGGTGAAGTGACAACTTCAGACCCAGCGCATCGAATGAGGATTGAAATTCTGCCATCAAGGCGGTCTTGCATACTCAGCTAGGAAATGAGTGAGACTTGAGTAAGATGTGGACACCAACTTAGATGACTTGCTGCGTCAAAGACATCTTGCAGCAATGCCTCAAGCAGTTCCTTGTGGGTAAGAGATCTCTCACCAGTTCGTTTAGTAGTGCCGCTAAGGCTAAAGTACAATGGGTGAAGGCCACCAGGCTGTCTAGCCTGATAATGTGTCCCATTGATGTGGACATCATGCCTCAGTAAAGCCCTAGTGGCTGCTTGACATTTGTTATTGTTGAACCCTTGAGCAAATGTTGAAGTGTGCAAAGTTGCAATACTGGGGATGGTGAATTTCATAGTGGCTTGTCCTGCAGTTTGACTTGAGGGGTGAATGGAGGCGGTAGATGCAGTAGTGGTCTTGGTGTTTTCGATTGGAGTGACCATGGTGGAACTAGTAATGTCTGTAGTTGTGTAGCAGGGTTAAAAGCACGGATAAGCACCAGAACATAAGATGTAATCATGCTCACTGTTGTGGGTCATGTGATTCTGGAACGAGTCCCAGAACAAATCAAGCACAAAATAGCTGTGATTGCAAATGGTAAATTCATGGAGAGATCTCAAAAGTCTTGTTGGCGTCTTGCTTCTACAGAATATTGCGCTGTCTAACTGATTGAACACTCAAAGTTGATACAGCACATGAGCTCAAGATCACATCCAAATTATATGCCTCCAAAGTCAATACTGATATTATCATCCATCTGGCTGCTGCAAGGAGGATGTGGTATTTCCCAGGCTTCCTCTGCATCACCATCGTCATCCTCAAGCTTCTTGCACTTGCCTTTGCACATGTCTGGAGGTGCAGTATATGCAGCATTATGCAGAATGGGATGCGAGTCATTAGGAGAAACAGGAGTGTGGAAATAAATGCGGATGTGAGAGGGTGGAGGCATCGTCAATGAGGACAACTTCTCCTGGTAGGAAGCAATCAGCTCTGTACTTGAATCTAACAGCTGGATTTGTAGTTGACGTCTGAAGCAGAGAGATGTATGTCACATGTAGTCCTATGCAATACATGAAAAAGCAATCACAAAGCAATTATGTAGTATGTCAGTCATTTATTGAATGTATAAAATCAGCCATGTCCTCAGTGATCACTTCGTGTTGTTCACGGTCAAGAGCTTCAATATCATCAAATTCCAATGCAAGAGAATCAGCATCTGGTTGTGCTGTGGTGTCATATACCTCATCCGACCGCTCTAATATCAATATCCACTCCACTTTCCAACCACCTCCATTCCATCCATCCTCCGCTCCATCCAGTCATTGTCCGCTTCCACCCCTACGCTTCCGCTTGACCGCCCAACCGGTCCCCTTCCATAAACGCCTCCATTCAACTGGAACCGCTTTCCCCTTTTAGAGATATACTTTCCCCTTCAGTACATAGACCCTTACTCCCAGATCACCGGTAATTCCTCTTACCGTTCAATCACTGATCCGATGTGTACATATTGATATCCACTCTGACTTATGTCTTCACCTGTGTAAGTACTTACAAATTATATCCTTGGTACATAGCTTTACAACATAGTTATCCTGATGACTGCCTCATACATAGAAGTATATGACATATCATGTACTTAGATATTTTTCCTCAGTCTTAATATTACTTGTCTTCTTGCAGTTACTACTTGTGAGAATTCTCAGTAGGACCTTGCCTCCTCCAGGACACAAGTTTCAACTTGTTGTCACCTCCGACCCTCTGACCCTCTGACCCTCTGACCCTCTGCTCCGACTTAGAGCCGTGCTCTAAGTCTCCCCCTTATTTCTCTGCCCCTTTCAATATTCCCCTCTGACCCTTTTCCATCCTCCGCATTATCCTCTGCATTCCCCGCTCCTACCAAACATTCCCCCTGCTCCTATCCACCCTCCACATCACTCCCTACCTTCTCTGCTCCGCTCTTAGTCGGCCCGCCGCTAGTAGCTCTTACCTCCTGACCCTCAAAGCAGACATAAGTGGACCACTTGTCCTATCGTTGGACAATGTTGGACCCGCTCCAAATTTGGGGCACGTACTCAGCTAAGGGCACAGCGCAAGAGCTGAAGCCAAGCCCCGACCCCTCTGCTTCCTGAGTTGGCACGGTACCTAACATGTGGTAGGGATTAGCATGATATGTGCAGTTGAAGATCTACACTCACCAGAACTAGCTCCATTGGTATCAACTGGTCTGCTGAATGCAAGATTTACAAGGTGAGTTCCAATGCCCCTGATACCAGAGAATCCAGACAGTCTCTCAATCTAATCTAACCGATATATGTGCACAGCATTGATAGCCACCCATGAGCGCCACTGGCATTTCAGCTCGGAAGCAAGTAATGGGTCAGCAACGAGAAGTTCATTGATAATGGCAGACATCTTGGTGGCTTCATCGTGGATAGCAGTTCAGAGCCAGCAAATTTCAATATTGAGTTGAATGACTTCTTCATGAGCTCGGCAGAGCTTAAAGTACTTTGTAGTCACCTCACAGTGAGCTGGCCTTGCCCAATCCTTGTCTTGGATGTCAGCACGAGAGTCTCGCAGAAGGTCAAACTCACCAAGGAAAGTGTAGTCGGCAATGTCTTTCCACACGATCTTCAGTCTTGGTGGGATCAGGGAAGCAGCCTGGATGTTGTAGTGATTGATTGCATTGCAAATAGCATCTGAGCACCACTGTAAAGCTTTGCTAATTTGTTGACGTAGCTTGTACCCTAAACAATCAATCAGTCATAGTAAAAGCGCCTACTAGTAGTGGAACACTCAAACCTGTGCCTGATAATGAGAGCTTTGAAAGTTCAAATAATCTCATAACGACCAAATGTTCCAGCTCATCTAATGCAGCACGATACTTACCGAGTGTCACTTCCTCCTTGAAACGGTTGTATTCCTTGCCACCAATCACCCATCTCTCATCAACAGATAAGACACATTCACAATGAGCGACAAGCCCCTTGGCATGCTGTAGTTTGGCATAGGAAGAATCAACTCAGATGTGGGCTTGCTTGAGTGCATCATTCATTTGTTCTGAACTGCCAGCATCTACTCCTGTAAGGGCATTATTGCCAGATTCATGGGTGAAATCCCATTCAGCCCTGTTAAAATTCAGCATCAGGGATGGGTGGCAGTTAATAGCTAATGTACAACACCTTTGTTCCACAAGTTCGTCAAGTACCTCAACATAATGTATAGAGAGCCGATCTCATGGAGCTGGGTGCTTCAAACTATCCAGGTATATGCATTCCTGATCAAAGAATCCAGGGAAGTCGTCGTCACTGAGATGTAGCTCAGCCTTGATAGTCTCTAGCTCAGCTGTCAACAACCAAACTGATTTCAACGCTTCTTGATAATGATCCCACAAATAATTGCCTGACAGCAAGTGTCAGTATTGTGGTTGCAAATTTGTCATGATGTACTAAGTGCAGCATACTTATTGGCATCCCAAAATGTGAAATGTTCCTCAATGGCTTGGTGGCAATGAAAATGGTTAGCATGTCTTGTGCTACGTGCAAGCTCATTAGATGCGGAGAAGATATGCTTGCAACCCTCACCCTCAGTATGCCCTGTTCCCGAAATATACATTGGGTGCCAGTCAAGTTGGCACCTTTGATTGTGTGCATGGCCATGGAAGGTGCCAACCATCATCCGAAAGCCAAGATTGTGTGCACAAGGACCCAATGTGCTATTGGTTAATGTTTTTGAGAAGTGTCATATACCTGATCCGACCGCTCCAGCAATATTAATATCTGCTCCGCCCGACCTCATACTTTCCCCACTTTCCTATCACCTCCGCTCCATCTGCCCCCCGCTCGTCCCAGTCGGCTCCCACATCGGCTCCTATGGTTCCGCTTGACCACCTTGTTGGTTATCTTCCACATCATTTCCATTCTACTGTAAACTCCTTCCCCATTTAGGTATATACTTTCCCCATTTACACATAGAACTTACTTCCTGGATCACCAGTACTTCCCATAACTGCTCAACTAACTGATCCGATGCATACATATTGATATCTGCTCTGACTTATGTTTTTCACCTGTGTCTACTTACAAATTATGTTCGGTACATAGCCTCATACCAAGGACTAACTAGTCACTGCCTCCTACATAGAAGTATATAAAGACATATCCTGTACTTAGCTACTCCTGAGTCTTAATATTACTTGTCTTCCCGCAGTCTCTACTAGTGGGAATTCTCCATAGGACTTTGCTCTCTCTCCAGACACAAGTTTACCTTGTCGTCACCTCCAACCCTCTGCTCTAAGTATTCGCTCTTACTTCTCCGACCCAACCAAACCCAAACCCCTTTACTCCCCTCTGTCCCAACCCACTTCCTCTGCCTCTGCCTCCCCTGCTCCACTCCTAGTCAGATTACCGCTAGTAGCATTTACCTCCCGACCCACTAAGTGGACCCAAGTGGTCTGCCTGTCCTATCGTTGGACATTGTTGGACCCGCTCCAAATTCAGGGCATGTACTTGGCTAAGGGCACAGCGCAAGAGCTGAAGCCAAGCCCCGACCCCTCCGCTTCTATGTCCGAGCATGGTCTCTAACAAGAAGGCACAACCAATATTGTAAGCACAACTTCCATTTTGGCCATACACAGTAAGCAGCTTGTCGATGATTGCCAATGGATATTTGGCACTGTCAACACATATCAGTACAAGCAAAATCATTTCAGAATGTGGTCTTACAGTTCTCCACTTCAGATCATATCACATGCTAGAAGCACAAAATGATGTTGGCATGAAGCGATGAAAATCCCTGACTCCTCAAATACTGCAAACATCTTCTTATGTGTGTCTGGTACAGTGTTTCTCCACCAATTCACACATGAGAATGCTCCTGGAAGATTTGTGTCTGTGGGCTCATCCATCCAGTCATCATCAGCTCTTTGAGTCTGTCTAAAAGATAATGTTAGAAGATAGTTGTATGAATAGTGAGCACTTACTTGTCGGGATTTTACTTCATCCTTAAACTTGTCAACAGCACTAGCATGAATCCAATAATTCAAACGAGCATTGCGAGAATCAGATCGAGCAGTTGTCCCATAAATGGTTGAGTCCCATCACTTCAGGCTATTATTACCATTGATGGATACTGTCATATCCTGTACCTCTGGATCCGGAATTCCGGAACCCCATTACTAAAGTCCAGTCCTCTGTCCTGTTATTTCACCCGGTGCTCTGCCTTCATCTCCATACTCACCCCTATCTCCTTTTAGAATAGTTACTGCTCCGGTTACTGGTTATGTCCTTTCCGCTATGCTTACTGATCCGTCCATTCTTACTTCATTTCCAACCTCACTGCTTTGATCCGTTATACACTTACTAATAAACTTTCCACATGCCTCATACATAGCCCTTACCTTTGCTGACTGATTTACTTACATGATACCTACAGTATATAAACTCCTGTAATACTCCGGAACTCCTCAGTTCAAATATCATCTTAGTTCTGCTCATTCCTGTATCTCCGGACTTGAGTCTCATCTCTTGTCTACCTCCGATTCTTAGGGGTTAAACCTTAGGACTAAATCTCCAGCTCTACCTTAGGGTAGTCTAACCTCTGTTCTGTTTCTACTCCAGACTTGTCCGCAGTAGCCCTACTCCATTCCCTCATAGTCTTCCAGAGTTCTGCCGAACTCCCCCGACGTTTGACCTCCAGACTTTCTGGACTTCTGTCGGACTTCCCTTCTGCCCCTGGAAATTAAGAGCACGTACTCAGGTAAGGGGCGCAGTGCACAAGCTGAAGCCAAAGCCCTTTGAGTAACCTCCCCCTTGAGCACGACCTTAACAGATACTAGCCATTTGAAATCAAGTGCAGGCTCATCATCAAGCTTATAAAAGCACACAGGGCATGAGTTTAGCAGACACCAGTCGACAGTATCCCATTTGAGTGCCCCCCACAGGCGCTGGTTTACATGATGAATGGTTTCTAGAAAAGTGTCATACTCTGCAGAACTCAACATAAATAAGCAAACCTTAATGTTAACATTATGCATACATCATGAAGGTAACATAAAGTTTTGCATTGTGATTGGATACTAAACCGGGGACACATTTGATGCAATTCATGGTAGGCAGCAAGTGTATGAAGCGATATCGCAACAGAAGGATACATTGGGGCACACCCAATGTACCCATAGTAGATAAGAGTTTCATTAGGGTACTGATGTGACGGTAATGGTTGTAGATGTGTGTGCCTTCTTGCTGCAAAGAAAAAATAAGTATTAAGATATAAAGCACCATTTCAAACTTACTGAAAGTATCAATGAGTTCGATGTCATTAATCAAAAATGAAGCATTGATGCCTGACAGGTCCTGATCCGACATATCTGGCATACCATCCCCAGAATCTCAACAGCAATAGTTTAAGTAGGCATCAACTAGACGATCCATCTGAAGGTTCCAATGAGTTTTGTGATCTTCTGTCTGTTCTCCCCGAGATTGTGGGTCAATGTGATGACTACAATGGGTGTTATCATCGGAAGAGTTGGATATAGTTGTGAACACATACTGACCAGTGAGATCCGCCAGTTGATGAGCAAGCTGTCATATACCAGATCTGAGCACCTCCAAACACATCCCTACCATTGGTCCGACCCCCTGTTCCCCCATCCGCTCCATCCATCCTTCTCCAACAATACACGAAGTACATCTCAGCAGGACTAGCCCTGCTACCTCCACCCGACCCTGCTCCACTCCTCCAACACTACCCCTGTTTCCTCCGACATTATATCCCCACATAATGCAGTGACATATTCCCTTACTTATAGGACAGCCCATGTTGACATTTCTCCATAAGAGTCGGGCCAACCCACCATGGGCCCACATTACTATGTACCCCTTACTTAAGGGATGGGCCCACATGTGAGATTATCACTGCATATACTGGGTGGGCCTGGTGGTAGTTAATACCTGTGGCTCAGGGGTGGGCCTGCACTATACACTTTGTGGAACCCAATAATATAATGGATAGTAGTGTTATGGTATATGCTATCACTATTGAATGTTACCTTGCCGGGGTGGGACAATCGCCGATGGGTGCCAAATCCCCCAATTGATCACTGTCCATACTGGGACCGCCGAGAGTATTTATGACCGCCATTCCGGTCACCAACAGCATGTTGCAGTGGCAAATATTTGTGGGCGGCAATGAGTTAGGAGAGTGGTCTTTCTGGGCATATCCCACATGCAGTCAAAGCCGGCAACCTTCAGTAATCTGTATGTATCAGCAACTATTGGTTTGCTAGGGACATCTGTTATATATGTATTTAAATGTTAGAACCTCTCAAGTCCTGATTTTGGTGCCGCTGACTATTGAGTTGTACCGTGAGTAGTCAGCTCGGGGCATATCTACAAACTCATGTACATCATCCCTCATATACCACACCCAGGCTATTCGGCCGGTGTCCATATCCACCCCATGCCTGATAATTCTCCCTGAACCAACAGCCATGGCGCCTGGACCATAGACAATTTCAATCCCTATATTCGGCATCTTCATCCTTGCCGCTCCATAATTGCCGATGCTAGTCATGACATTGAACCATTGGGGATGGGACTAAGGATCCCGGTGCAAGGGTGAGCGCCGGTTGCATACAACGGCGACAGCTGTAAATACGGATGCCCACTCTCTGAGGCGAGCACCCATTTCATCCAATTTCTTTTCTGCTGCCCCGAGGCCAAGGGCCAGCTGTGTTGCTAATGATGCCCGATAGAGGTCAGGGTGCATGACTCTCAAGGCGGCAGCAATGAGCGCCGCCGGTCTCTGCATTGCCTGACAAAGACCTTCCATCTCGTTTAAGAGTTGCCGAGACCTGCGGGATGAAACTTAGGAGCCTGGGATGAATGAGCATTGCCGAGGCAAGCTGTCGGGATGTGAACCAAACTTACCAGATGGGTTTGTAAAAATCATGCTGGAGACAGGTTAATGCACCCCGGGGTGAGTCTGTGCTCACTGGGCTCAGTTGGATTCATGGGTCCTCCATTTACCACCAGTCTCTGCACCATGTGACACTTGTAGCCAGCAGGGCCAACATATTCGCAGTCGCCACCGCCATGTCATTCTAAGATTTGTCAAAAAAATCAATGGCGGTGACGGGGGCAACTGACCTGTATGTCTATATCGATAGCTCCAGGGGAGATACCAGAGGATGATGACACCAAACTTATCGCAAACAACTGCAGGCCGATCGAGGAGGATTTGATGGTCTGGCAGATATCGGGAATGGAGGTTTTCTTCATGATCAGGTTTTGTGCCGTTCTCCATCATCTGCAATGCATCTGCATACCTGGCAACATCGAATTTTATTGTAACTAATGCTGGTATATAGCATGGATGAACATCAAATGATACACTAAGAAAAATGTACAATGTAATGAAAATAAATGTCTAGTTCTGGGGGCCCCTGCCCAATGCCAACTCGCCAAAGGCATGTGCACCTGCATGAGAACTGCCAGTGATCTGATTGTGAGATCGACTGGCAGAGAGACCGCCAGCTCCATTCCAGCCAGAACCACCGGCGACATTGCCTACTGATGGGCCTCCCATGGCGGAAGCACCTGCAGGCAAGTTGAAGTATAAGCCCTCCATCGCTTGCATTTGGCCCATGCTGACCGGCATCATACTATGATTGCCACTGTACTGTGGGTTGGCATGATAGATTGGGCCGGGAAAGGGGGGAGATAGTGACTGGTTTTGACCGAGTACACAATGGCGAAGAGCGTTGTAGGCGTCCTGAAGGACGGCGGTGGCTTGTTCTTGCCAGGCCAATTGCGCCTGAGCCTGCTGGACTGTCTCATCGCGGGTCACCAACTCCTGTTGCATGACCTTCATTTGATTTTGAACTGCCTCCATGTTGGTGCGTACATCTTGCAGTGCACAGATGTTGGCATCTTGAGCGGCGAGCCAGTCGTTCAATGCATTCATGTTGGCGCGTACATCTTGCAGTGCACGGATGTTGGCATCTTGAGCGGCGAGCCGGTCATTCAATGCATTCAATAGGTCGGCAGTGGCGGTCTGCTGAGCTTGCAGTTTGACAAGTTCAGCCCGGGCACCATCGGCGGCGTGCTGGAGGCTCAGCCGCTTTGAAAGCGGTGCAGCGTTGTCATTCATCACCAACGTCATTGCCCTCAAGTCATTGACCATGGCATCTCCCTCAGAATCCACCTCCATTGAATGCTGGAGGGAGGGGACAACTGACTCCCTGGGAGGATCAAGTGTGTGGGGGGCGAGGATGACTTGGCAGGATCTGAGGAGCGACTATCGGGCGATAAAGTCGCAATCAGCGGCACGGAATATATGGGTGCATGGGGCGCTGCAGCATCACCTTCCATAAGGATATCTGGAATTGTCAGTGGCATGCATACAAAGGCAGAGAATGATATTACATTCTGTAGGGGGATGGCAGCGTGAATTCAAATGTGGCTGGCTAGGCTTACCCTTCAGCACCGGGGCGGTCTCAATCTTGGAGCGGGAACACTTAAGCTTCAGCCTTGAGCACTGGGCACAGGCTTTGAGTCCGGCGCCGGTGGCACCATATCCCTGACGACAAATAAAGGATCTGGAACATGGAAACTCAGCAGATGACATCCAGTAATCAATCGGGAATTACATACAATTTGATGCATTGGTCACATCGCGGCACCAACTCCGGAGCATCCATGGTCTACGGTGCCGGGTTGAGATCGACCAGAATCAGAAAACTTGGCACTTATAGCGCCTGGAATCATCCTGTAGCCCAATGGCCGGTGACGGCAATGGCACCTTCGCGACCTTTTGCTTCTTCAAGGTTGTTGCCTGTTGGGTGATAATCAACATGAACTTCATCTATTGAGCAAATAATTGGACACACCGGTGGTGGGGCGGAATTCTCAGATGATGATTCACAGGTCACCAGGCAGCGCTGGCGGTCGACTGGAACTGGAGTCCCTTCTCCTCTTCTCAATGGCCAGAGTACAGGCCTCGTCCCTGAACGTCTTCCACATCTTCTGGCGGCGGCACCACTTCCTTACCCTTACCCTTGTCTACTTTACCCTTCACCAGCTTCTTCTTCAATGCCGGCTTGGGCTTTGGCCTTGATGGGCCTGGTGCTGGCGTCGACTTTGTGACCCCGGCGGTGGATGTTGATGGCACCGGCCTGGATACAAAGAGGGTGCGGGCCTTGTCTTTCAATGGATGCTGCTGGACCCGGGGATCATCGGCGGTGATGTTCTTCCACATCGGCACACTAACAAAATGTTGCCGAGTGCGGTCCAGGTGTTCTAGCATCTCCATGGCTGCTGAGAGCAGGACCGGGGGGACCACAGTGGCCGAAATGCCATGGGTTTCAAAACCATGGGACTACTAGAAATCAGTATATGACCCGGTGCTAATAGGGAAATACCCACCAAGATATCCCCCACCTGCATAGCCAACCGAAGGTGTTCGGGGTTACTGTCCTGCAACGTCACCACACCTGCCAGTATTTGAATGACCTGAGCGGCAGCATCAATGAAAGCCTTGTTGGATGTCTCAGCAGAGGGCATGATGGGAGGAGGGATAAACTTGAAAGATGGGCGATGGGCGATGAAAGGACTGGTAATATGCCAGTAGGAAGCAATGAAATTTTAAAATGAGCGGTTCTCGGCACAGCAGGCAACTCCATGCGGCAATGTCTCAATTGAACAGAACCCATTTTGAAATCATGTGTCCAACTTCTGGCACTGACATGCTTTGTTTGGGTTGCTAAATTTAAAGTTCCGCGAACTTCCAGTCCAAAAAATCAGATATTTAACATGGCCAAATCCATCTGTTGTCACTTCATTTTTCATCCTTAAACTTTATTGAGAACGCCATGTCACCACCAGTGCAACGCCAAGTCCGATTCGATATTCCAATGGATACCGATGAGGAATCTCAATACAATGGTGAATCTAGATCACCAACATCCAATGCCTGCCGTGGGTAACACAGGTAAGTCTTGTCGCAGTCAGCCCATCTCATCTTACCAGACTTCAGCATTCTATTTTGGCTTTGGTGCGCCACCGCCACCGCCACCGCCGAGGTTTAACTTCAGCATGGACATCCCCATGTTGGCGGTGGAATCCGCATCTCCCACAATGCAGCAGCCATTGAATGTGGGATTTCAACTTCCCATCCAAGCGAAAACTCCACCGCCGTCCTCCACTCACCAGCCATTCAATTTGGGGTTTCAGCTCCCACCTCCCTCCACCCCGGCCCAAGCAGCACTACCTGCCGGCCCAGTCCAACAGCCGTTTAATTTGGGCTTTCAGCTCACCCCTTCCCCCACCTCACCCCAAGCAGAACTACCTGCCGGCCCAGTCAACAAGCTGTTTAATTTGGGCTTTCAACTCACCCCTTCCCCCACCCCGCCCCAAGCAGAACTACCTGCCGGCCCAGTCCAACAGCCATTTAACCTTGGCTTCCAACTCCCCATGCCCATCAACCACACACCGGCGGCAGCAAATGCTGCTCCGGCATTTAACTTGGGGTTCAATCTCCCCGTCCCGGCGACCCAGACACCAGAGGAAGAATCTGCTGCCATGGTGCCGGCAGTACAAACCACAGTCCGGCATGTGGGCTATGCCACCAACAACAGACGTAAGTTCGCTTCACATATATTAATCAATTCTGACCCTCCAGCAGCGTTCCAGTTCAACTGTGAGCCTCTCTCACCCATAGGAGATTGGAATCCGGTGCTGATCCGAGCACCATCGCCGATTCATGCTGATGGCCCATCTGCTACCATGCAGCCGGCACCTGTTGCACCGCCTGTGAGGCCAACATTAGCATCTTTAGTTGGCGATGCCAAGCAAGCGGTGATCGACATTGTCAGACGCCTCCAAGGAGAGGAATGTAAGCCACATCTCCGCATAGTTGTATAAAGAGTTTAACTCATCTTAACCAGTTGATCAAGTGGCGGCGATGATGGTCGGCGGGTCCTTAGGTGTCGGCGAGAGCATCCGGGACCCTAAGCCTGACGAGGTCTTGGACAGCAACTGGATTCTGATGTTGGCGTTCTGTGAAATCCGAGACAGGCTGACCAGGATCTTCAAAGACATGATTAGCTTGCATCATATGGCACAGGTCCAGGATCGGGTCGCCCCAATGGTGACCACCCTATTGGCTGAGGTGGAGAGAGCAGAGGAATTGATTTCCGACTCTGATGAGTAGACAGATACCATCTCAATTTGTTAAATGTATCCTGTACTATATCACTGGTTCACCGGTGACTCAATTTAAATGTACTATATTACCATACCCACATGGATCAGTGAAATGATCAGCGGCAGCACCTAAAATCCCATTTTAAACAAGCAGGTATAACATGCCACATGGCATCAATCCAGCAGCAACATCTCTGGATTTGATACTGGCGGTGCTCACAATGGGAGATAGTATAAGATGCCGGAGGTACTGGTATTGACAGGCATCTAGTGCAATTATGGAGCTGGCATAGGATGGTATTTCGATTGTAGCTCATATACATGATCATTATGATAGGCGGCAATGATCACTTCCTACTCCATTTGGCTTTTGGAGCTTCAGCAACCACTGCCTTGCTCCTGGTTCTCCTAGCCGGTGTGCCACTGATAGGAGCGGTGGTACAGCGTTTTGATGCCTTGGTTGGTGGCTCATTCTCAGCGGCGGCACGGCGTTTTGATGCCTTGGCCGGCGGCTCATTCTCCACATTGGAATGAAGACCTTGCCTTGTGGTGTGTGGACCTGATTTTGCCGGTTCATGCGCTGTGTTGAGTGGAACTTTGATATTGCTGGTCACCTTTGACCTGACTGGAGGTGTTGCCTTGGCATATCCGCCGGTGGAATCATTGATTTGAGGCGCAAGGTTATCAGATGCCAAGTCATCACCGGGGCTGTCACTGGATACCAGCGGCAGGCCTCTCTGAGTTACCTTTGGAAGGAATGATTCATCCCTGTCATTGGCAGACATTGAAGCCTCCTGATCTTCGTCGGCAGATGACTGATGCTTCTCTTCCACTTCTTCCTCATCACCGCTTTGCTCATGGTGTGTTGAGGCACGTTTGCGCTTACCGGTGTTCTGACCATGCCGAGTAGCTCGCTGCACTGCCTTGTGGAAAGATTTTGCGTGTGTCTCCATCTCGCCGTCGGTGTCTTTCCAAGCTTTGAAACAGAAGGTTGGGCAAAGCTTCTTTTCCTGTTGGTGATGCCAGAAATACAACAGAGCGGTGGCATCTGCTTTGTCCATCTTTGAAGGTTCCACCAACTGCACGTTGGCGGGCCAGTAGGTGTTGTCAAAGAAATCTGATTGGCTCTTCACCAAGTCACCCCATGGCACCGCCACCACTGCTTTGTCTTTTCCCATGCACATCCCTGTTGAAATCACTACGCGGTGGTATACCGAAGGAGACTTAAACTGACTGTAGTGCCTAGTGAGGAATGACCGAATGATATGCTGTTGATCGCTGCGTTTCCAGCCTGTGGTGTTGGGGAGCATTGGCCACCCATCATCATCCTCCTCCAGTTCGAGGAGTTTTCACGGCACACGTTTCTTGGTCGTCACCACCTGGGGGACATCTTCATCCTGGACGTCTGGATATTTGTTAATTAGAACGCCGCTTCATTCTCTTGAATTGGCATCTCACCGAATTGCTTGCCGGCATATTGCTGCCAGTCTGGCATGAAGTTCCCTTCCCAGTCCCTTGTCTTCAAAAAGCTTTCGCCGCCGCCAAACTGCTCATTGAAGTCATGTCTTTAACAAGTTTAGATCTGGCTGACCGGCGGTAGAGTTCAAACAACACTCACACTCCTAACATTAGTTTGCCTTCCCAGTTCTGCCATGCCGACATCACGAAGATCCTCATTCCAGCCTGCTTGAACATCTCCATCACAAAATGCTTGATCATGTCGGCGCCTTTGGTTTCGGTGACATTGGCTTGGATGTCGGGTGGCACAGCTTCATTGTTCCACTTCTCTGCCATCACTCTCGCCTCTTCCTTCTCCTCTGCCGACAGACCGGCGAGCACAGTCTTTGTGGCCTCCGGCCACTTGGTGATCATCCCCTCACTCCCAGGAGTTTCTCCAGTCTCCTCTCGTATCTGGGCTTTGTTCTGCTCAATAAACACCCGGTGAGCCGTCCATTTCTTGCCATACTTGATGAGAGGCTTTGGAGCCTTCCAGCGACACTGGTTGTAGAGCCATTCCTTGTAGGTCTGTTGGCCGAAATAAATAGCTAGAGCATGTATATATGTACACTGGCACATACCTTTTTCCGGCTTTTGAGCATGGCTTTGTCACGAGTGGGAGCTTGGAGGCAAGCTTCCCTGTGGATGGCATTCAATACATTCTGTCTCTGTTTACCTTTCACAGTCCTCCAGTCCTCGAGGTGGGTCTTGAGGACCGCAATTTCCACCTTGATCAAGGGAAGCTTTGTCTGCTGGGGGACAATGACAGGGGATTCACTCTGAGCCATTTTGTGAGATGGTTGATGGTCTGAATGGTGGGATATTGAAAATTGTAGGTTCCCATGACCCTTACTCGGATCCCTCGGTTCCTATGACATTTCATCTTATGTACATATAGCTACATGATAACTGTCAACACAATGCATCAGCCTGCTATTCACATACCATTGGCTTTAGCACATGAGGGGCTCTAAAGTGCAGGAGTGGACTCCTACCAGCAATATTCATCTGGTGGAATGGAAGAAAACAGTTTGGACCAGGAAAGCAACAGGGAAATGGGTAGAGAGACCCAAGATTCGAAAAATCCAATCAGTTCCGGCCACCCCTACCAAGTCATCATCGAAGCAGTGGCCATCCGAGGATATGCTATTTCTCGGTGGAGATGATTGGGTCGGCGACCTCAACCAGCAGGATTTCATACCCCTGCCGCTACCAACATCCATGGTAAGCCCTGCCCGGCAGCCATAGGATCTCGTTCTGTCTCTCACTCAGCTTGTTTCAAGAGTCAGAATGACTATCTTCGGCAATGGGTCCCAAGGACCAATAGATATCTCAGCATACTCCTTGAGCGAGAAGCTCCTGCTGACCGGTCTTGCATCATTTGTGGGTCCGATGGTGTCTACAAATGTCACAACTGCTTCGGTGAGCCTCTATTTTGCACAAATTGTTGCAGGACGGAGCACCAGAGGCTGCCCTTCCATTGGATCAGTCAATGGACCGGTGGTTTCTTCAAGGACTGTTGCCTGGTGAAGACTGGTCTAGTGATTTCACTCAGGCACAGCAGAAATCCTTGCCCATGCCAAGACTATGGGGTCGATGATGCTGATGAAGGATTTTTTGCTGCCGCCGACACCGACACCGACACCGACACCGAGCATGCGACGACACCAACCGCCAATGCGTCAAAGAACAATCACGATCTGTCTACTGGAGTGCCATTCATAAAGAATGACAAGACCATGACGACAATAGTGGACAAGTCTGGAGTACACACTCACATCATCAAGTATTGCATGTGTGCCGATGCTCCAAGCGCCGACCTACAGCTGTTTCGATTAGGCTTGTTTCCTGCATCCTTTACCCAACCAAAGACCACTTTCACTTTTGATGTATTGGACGACTTCTTACTGGATAATTTGGAGTGCGGCACGTCAGCAATGAATTATTACAGTAAGTTGAGGAGGATGACAACCAATGTTTTTCCGCATTTGGTGCCGGTGAGAGCATTCATCCATCAGCAGCCTTGTAAAGTTAACAATTCGGCAGGACCGCTACCAGGAGCTCATGAGGGTGGCCAGGCAGTGGCAGCAACTGAAGCTGTTGAAATGGAACAGGCTTCGGCCACGAGGAAAAAGACGTTGAACCTGGTGATCTCGCTCTCTTCTGCCTGGCATGTCCCCAGCCGGGAATTAATGTGACATTGCCGACTGAAGAAGGCGCGGCAGAGATCAACAGAGAATCAGATCTGGAGACGCTGAGTTGGCTCTATTCAAGATCGCTGGTCATGGATGGCAACTTCAAAGCAGAGCATATGCATGCGGCGAATCCCATTGATGAAGTCCCCCTCATGGATGGACGTGGTTTCATGGTCGGCGATGGCAAATACAAGGCGCATCTGGCACTGGCAAAGGACGCATGTTCAACGGTCCGAGTGCAACAATCACTGCGCAGTGAATCAAGCCAATGCATCCCGTCACAGACTGGAGGCAACCGGCATTGGCGGATGTGCCTGTGCAAGGCATGGCTGCTTCGTCCCACATGCAATGGTGGATTTTCAGAAGGGAGAAAGGTATGCAATTAGTGTATCTATGGCTTGAGAGCCTCGCCGATGCTCACCAGGCAGATGAACATGGACTATGCTTTGTGCGAGGCATTGAAACACAATGCCAGGCGGCATCCGGCGCGCACTGACATTTTATGATGTTAATTGCCAGTACAATAAGTATCTAAAGGATCGGGTAGCTGACAGGCCCCTATTTGCAAATTCAAGAGCAGATGGAGATAATCCTGGGGATAGGTCTATGGCATGTTCATGGCCACCAAGACAGCTGCTATGTTCGCTATGCTTCTAACTTTATCGCCGGCGCCACCAGAATTGACGGCGAGATCATGGAGACCCTTTGGGCGCCGTTGAACATAATCTCTCCTTCGGCACGGGGGATGGGGACCCCTCACCGCAAGGAGTGCCTGGATTACCAAATGAATGATTGCAATTTCATGAAAATGATCAGGATGAGTGGGTGCTCCATTGGTCCTCAATCAATTTGCTCACCGGATCATGCAGGCAAGGCCCTTTGCCGGAAATTCAGGCAAGCTGTGAAAGGGCTCGCCGACAGTAGGGAAGCCTTTGAAAAGCTGGATCAGAGTGCCGACTGAAAACAATGTCAGGGACTGGGGGGAACAGGAGAGGCTGGCACAGGAACAGGCGTAGCACTGATCCAAAGGCAATGGACATTTATGAAGTCCAACTGCAGAAAGGTATGAGCCGATGATATCGCCAAAATCAAGGCTGACTGGCAAGATAGCTCCGACCAGGAAAGAACAGGAATTGAGGTTGCTGGAGGAAAATGGCCAGCAACCTGCTCCTGCCCGCCGGAGGGGAGCGGCAACATGGCTGGCAGAAGGGCTTTCCATCGAGGAGGCACAGGTGACTCTCCACATGGACGTTAGGAGGCTAGGGCGGCGTCCGACAGAGAACCAATGACTGGAGATCGGGCGGCGTTGTGAGAGACTGCAAGGAGACATTGACCGTTGGTCGGTGACATTCATCGGCGACTGGGTTTGGCGATGCCGACCTCCACATGATGGAGCACGAGCTGCTGATCCTTCAAGAAGACTCAGATGATGAAACAGCTGATGAATTTAGACTGTTTGAGCTAGAAAAGGTTGTAATACCATTGCCGTCCAATTTGGGCCAGGGGAGATGCACCGAGCTCGGCGCTGCGGATATGATCCATCAAGAACATGTCCTCCGCGAAGGACAGGCCAATGACGCCTTGCACAATATCAGAGTGCACTTGGCAGACAAGGCGGTCATCTTCCGAAAGACAGTCAGAACGGCAAAGTCGCAAGCAAAGTCCACCAGAGCTTGGGCCCAGATCCATGCAGTGGACCGGGCGGTAAGCATCAACGCAAGCGTCTATTCCAAGTGCCGGTCTCAACTCGGCAAACTCGGCGCCGCCGACATTTTGCTGAACAGATACCGGCCATTGCTTAAAGAACATCTCCAGGTCAGCACCGCCGTCGCCAGATCCCAATGCCAGAGGCCAGAGAAACTCCATGTTGGCTTGGTTCTGGTCTATGGATGTGGAGGGAGACTCTGATAGCAGTGATTGGTTGAATGAATGTAAGGTCTTCACATGTCCTTCGCCGGGCACTGCTGATCCTGCCGACAATCTTCAGTTTACCAGGTGCATTGGCTCCGTGCCAAGGCTCTAAGAGACAGGTGGGAGGAGGAAATGCTACTTGTGCAGCATGAAATGAATTGGACATACAACTTCTTCTTGCACAAAGCCGAGCAATGGATCCTTCTGGCTACCATCTCAAAAGCCGCCGACAAGGTGGGACACCTTGCCTATGCGGCACGGCAGTGCAAAATGTATCAGCGCCTGTATGAGGATTCCCGGGATGCATTTGAAGTTGCAAAGGCAGCCTGGAACCCAATGCATATTATGCCGGCGGTCTTATAGTAGACTTCAGATTGATACCTGCTGACATTCAGTGTAGCAATAAATGATCAAATTCAAGTGGTTTCCGCCGGCATCAATCAATGGTTGAACACTGACTTTCTATAGTGTAGTCTAATGATCCTAGGGCTAATCTTGTATGTAAAGTTATTGTAGGTAATTTAATCTTGTTCCACTTTCAAATATTTCACTAGGAGTTCAGTGGCGGCGATGGCGTCGCGTACATCTTCACCCAATGTGGTCTCCATTCTCATCAAGGAGGCAGCTACAAGCCTTGCCTCCACTACCTTGTTCTCCAACATCGTGATGATGTGCGCCCTTCCTTGTGTGACCCCAGCTTGAATGGTGGCCAATTGCTGTGCCACCGGCATTGATCTTGCCTGCACCAATGTCGCCGGGGTTATCAACATGCGGCCTTCTGGCTAGATTGCACTGTAAGGCGGCGGCATAGTTGAAATGAGGATGACTTACCAATTGCTCAAAGTGGTCTGCAACCATCTGCACGACTTGCTTCCAACCAGGGTACCGGGACGTGAAAGTCCTGTAGTCTACCGCATCGAAAGCGGTGTTCCACCAGTCCATGGGATATATGTTGACAACCCAACCTGTGACCCAGGCGCCGGAGGGCTCCACTGGCAACTTCATAAAGTTGTCATAGAGCTCTCGGTAGGTCAGGAGCTCCATTGAGCTCATGCCGAGGATCCTGACGAACCATCGGAGGTTGCAGGACAAGGGAGGGCAGATGCTTAAGCCTTCACAATAAGCGACCCAAGGCAAGAAAAAAACCTGACCGGTGATTGATAAACTTAGATGGATGAAACAAGAATTTGAAGACTTACCTCGCCCTCCCACATGAGGTACTTGCTAATAATTAGGACCGTCGCCGATGACGGCATGGTGTTCTCCAGGGATCGGCGTATAGCCAGCAAGCGGGACCCAGCGAACTCAAATATGTTTGCCATGTCGGCAAGATCGAAAGTGGGACGCTCGCTGGTTGGACTTAAGCACTTGGTGGCACCGGTGATGTTGGACATGATTGGATATTTGGAATATGATGATTGGCGAATGGGAATTTATATTGTTTGCTGTAATCGGAACATACCGAAGTGAATTGCGGATCATGCTGAAATTGTGATTTGCAGATTTCCATTGTGCATTAGCCCAATATGGAAATTTATTGCATGTGTGACATAATCAGCCGCCACATTAGTTCACATTGGACTTGTATTTCTTCATCATCGCAGTTCATCGCCGCCCCTCATCTTAACACCATTACCACCATTATCACCATGACCACCGTAGTTAACTGGGCTGCTAACAAAGCCAATGCTGGTTTCCTCAATGCAGCCAACAAGGTTGAACATCTTCTGGGGCAGGCTCTCCAATTGAAGCCTGCCGATCCCAAACACATCGCAATTGCGATGGAGATGGTCGCATCTCTTGTAAGTCTTGTTACTTTTAAGTTTCAAATTCTCTAATCTTCATAGAGTTTTACCTTCAGCAGCTACGCCTATTCAGCAACCTCTGTGCCACCCATGGTGCTCTCTGCCACCGCAGAGATTCATGAGCACCTGGACGACTCCTCCTGCAATGTTGTCAGTGCCCCGGTCTGGTCCAACATTCGCCCAGACGATCCGCAGAGCCAGCATAGCCTGCTTTACCCCCTCACTCTTGCCTATGGCAAACCCCCACCACCCACCAATCCTCCTGTTGCCGGTCCATCTGGATCCAACACCGCAGTCACCCAGGATGCCAATGTCCTTGCAGGCAAGGGCAAAGGCAAGGCAAGGCAAGATCCTGAGGCTGAACCAACAGAACAGCGTGGCCGCGGTATGGAACGCAAGCAACTCCGGTGCATGAGCGCCCCCCGCAGTCAGAGTCGCGCGCCGAAGGCAAAATGGCCGTGTGCCACCTCCAAGGCCATGATCACCAGCAAGGACGAAAGGGAGTTGGACATGGCCAACATTCCCCAACAGCAACCGGCGCCGGAGGCCAGGAAGAAGGTAAGTATTCCTTATTGACTTTGTATGTGATTTAACCTCCCCGGCAGGCATCCTTGCCCACCAGACTTCCTCCTGCCCTCAAGAAGACCTGGTCGCAAAGCAAGTCATTCACCGTCACCAGCGACGATGAGGAGGATACCAAGCCGACGCCCAAACCTCCACCGAAGAAGAAGAAGACGTATGTGGAGATTGACAATGAGATGACGGCGAACATTGGCCCAGTGCCGAAGATGGGCATGCCATATGTTCAGGTTCCGGTAAGTGTTTCCTCCCATCTGGCATTCACCTTCTAATGATATGAAATGTAGCCCGCACCATCAGCTATTGCCGGCAATGACGCTGCTGATCCCAACACATGGTCGCCAGGTTGCAGCCCCTGCGTCCACCAAGGGCTTATATGCCTCCAAGGCTACAACAACTCTGGTGCGGCCACCTGAGTGGCACCATCTAAATTACTAATAAGTAATTATGTCAGGTACCTGGACCCTTTACTAACTAGTAGCGTGTAGCTACGTTCCACTATACCAGCAATAAAACCAGTAAACCAGCATTACCTTGGGCTAGTCAGCGTCCTCGTCTTACTTAATATGACCACGGCTGTTCTCGGTGGCAATGAGTCACCCCCACCTAATCCCGAATAGCGTCATCGACCGTTTTCCCACCATTGTCACTGCGTCTGCTTATCACCTGCTTAGCTGCCCATCATCCCCAACGACGAGCTCAACATATGGCTTATCTGCGCCTGTTTCTCAGCAGTTTTTTCAGGACTTCTTTCTAATGGTCCCGTCTCATCTCCTCCTCCTCCTCCTCCTCATCACGCCCTCAAACCAGCGGTAATGTATGATATACAATGTCTATCATGAAATCTTACTGACTAATCTCTTACACGTCTTAGACCATGACTCTACTACACACTGCTATCATCAAACAATAAGTCACAGTGTGCAAGGTGAGTGTTCCCACAGTCCCTTCCTCTCAACCTTCAAGCTCTGTAGCAGGTGTTTGACAATGAATACTGGCAAGCGGAAACGCCTCTCCACAATAACGCGGGTGCGCGAGACTTGTGTTCTCGAGACGGGATCGTCAAAGACTACCAGAGCAACCCTGACTCAAGTATGGAGGGACCGGTTAGCATTTGAAGAAGAGCAGCGTGTCGCCAACATCCGTATGTCCACCTACTATTCTTTTAACGATCTTTTCTAACTCTATGTAGAGTTAACAGCCAAGACACGGCAACTCCTTGCAGAGGCAGCACTCGAAGCTGGCCGGACATCAGCCAGGGACTCTGCACGTTCTCCTGAGTATGAGAATTGGGACCATGCCAACTATGATGAGAATGGGGCCGAGGATGATGATATCGACACTCAACACAATGATGGCAGTGAGGATGACGAGGGTGATGTTGCAAAACAAGATGCTCTCAGTGCCACTCACGCACAAGTAATTTTTTGGTAAGTCAAGCCCTTCGTTCTCTTAACATCTATCTCACAATGTATTAGTTTGCAAGGCAGGAAGAATTTGCGGCATCGAGCGCCTCATACTCGTCTCCTATGCAATCAACAGATGCATGCTGCATGGTCCCATCAAATGACGGACCTGGTTGATGCCTTTTTGTTGTGGAAGTACCGGGGCGTTCAAACGAGTGATATACCAGGGTCAATTTT